AAGCTTAATGTTGACCCAACGTGTCGAACAATTAAGCAAAAGAGGCGGAATTAATCCGCCTAAAAGAACCAGGACATCATGGCTGAAGTCAAAAAGCTTCTGGATGCAGGTTTCATTGAACCTTGTCAGTATCCAGAATGGTTGGCTAATGTGGTGATGGTTCAGAAGGCAAATGACACCTGGAGGATGTGCGTTGACTTCACAGATCTAAATAGGGCATGTCCGAAGGACTCTTATCCCTTGCCGAGAATCGACCAGTTAGTCGATTCGACAAGTGGGCATGCCCTGCTTAGTTTTATGGACGCATTTTCGGGGTACCATCAGAAGATCTTCATGTGTTGACTTAATTTAACATCATAACATGTCTATTAGATGTTAATACGCCTTTCCTGGTTGACTTGCGGATGTTAACAACTCAGCTTAGCTTAACATTACCGTGTCTATTAATTTATTAACTACCTTCATTTGTTTAACCAGCTGAAGCTTCTTGCAATCCTGCTGTATGTATTATTGGTGCATATATGATGTCTTCTCGTTGACTCAGGGATATCATATATTCATATACGTAGTCTTCTTTAGCAGTCAGCTTAAAATATTTATTGTACTACTCCTTGTATAAAACTATTTTAAAAAATATTGAAGAAATTGAGAAAAATCAACCTGCATTTTGCCAATAACATTCCGATCAGTTTCGCCATGACGAACCACGATGATCTCCGTACAACAAGGATCAATTGACCCAATTCCATCACTTTCCACTGAATATGGAGACCTAGTTGATTATCCCAATTATTGTTTAATTAAGGTGTTTTAAAGAATTTAATATTCTGGTTCATGTTCATCTAATTAGATTAGATGCTCGTTTTAATTAATTTTAAAACTCGATTTTATTATCGATCTGGCTGTCGAACCCAGATTTTGGCTCAAAAATAGTGATTTTTGGGCGGAATCGACATTCTGGAACTGTTTAAACATAGTAACATAGTCAAGAACATACGATCAACCAAAAGAACATAAACATAGTAACATAGTCAAGAACATGATAGTATTTCGACGTAGACGAAAAGAGAGACACAGATAAAGAGGAAACCTGGAATCAGAGGCAGCCATTGATTGAGGAGGCGGCCTGATGACTATAGCTAATGATGCCTCTCCTGATTGACTTGGGGATGTTCTTTTGCAGCAGTCAGCTTAGTTTAACATTAACATTAATATGCTAATTAATTATTAATCACCACCTAAGCTCCACCTAACTCATTCTCACATTTTTTTTTCTTTTGTCCTGTCTTTTCCTCTCTTTCCTGTGAAATTCACTGACATTGGATTTACTTCGAACCTGATAACAGAAGATTTATCCTAAACTAGTTTAATCTAGAAACTGAAATGAAAAATTAACATATTCAATGAGCCCAAATTAACGCTGAAACAATTGTTGTACTCGTGAACAAATTACACTGCGACTGATGTCCGTATAAGATTGGATCACAAAACGCCATAATTTTATAGACAAGCATCACATTTACCTCTGATCTTTTCAGTATAAGAAAGAAAGAGACATTCTGCTGATTGTTATTTGTGTTTGTCTATAAATACTTATTCTAACAGTTTGTATTATTTCTTTGGTTCTTTAGCTATGTCGATTATAAGATATTCATATTCTGAAAGGGTCCTTACATCTATCTATAGCTACCACTTACTACTTTCGTCGAACTCAAAAGGAAATAATACAAATACATACTATATACCACCCTTGCCTTTTATCAGGCTTTGGTGCAGATTTTCCAATTGAAGAACTTGGTTTTTATCCACATAATCGAGGTATAATCTAAATCACAAACCATGAGCAAGCAAATCCTAGAAATATTTTCACCCACATCTATGTGATAATCAAATTGCAATTGCATATCGCCAGAAGAAATACAGCTAAGCAGCATCAGTACTGTTTTCTGGGGTACTATGAACCTATGAATCAATGAACGTTGTAACTGTTCCAATAACTGACATGCAAGAGTACTCTTAATTTAAGTAGATAAATTTCCAGCTTTTAGGATCTCTTTATTTATATTTCATTCGAGTCTTTAACTCCACTCATTGCAACTATTTGAGTTTGCAATTAGCAAAACAACAATAAAGAAGTACAGCAATCCTCCTTGATACAGCAAGTCTCATCACGAGTAACTAAACAATTGAGTACCAGGAATTCAAGCATAAGCTAGCTAGCTAGCCTGAAGCATCGCCTCCACCTGAAGCCGATTCCAAATATTCTGTTTCTCTGAGATGACTCTTATCATTCCATAATTTGATTGACCACTTATCTCCTTCAGACAACTGAAATATACTAATAGATGTGTTCCATACCCCTCCAGGACGTTCTCCAGGTACAGCTCGCTTATATAGCTTTTCTATGATACTCCCATGAGTTACTACCACCACTCGCTCTCCTGAAATGTAGCCAGAAAATAAAAATTAGTTCACCGGTTTTATTTTTACCTCCCCTATTGGCTGCCCTAGATGCATACAAAGTAACTACAAACAGCTTCCCAAATTAAAACATTACCTCTGTGTTTTTCAGCAATTCTTTCCAATGAGGTTGTGCATCTTCTGAACACTTGGTCCTTACTTTCGCCACCACCCTGTAGATGATGAAGTACGTTCTGAAGTTAAGAAAACTCTGAGTTCCAAAATTTTAGAAAAACTTTAGTTGGAATGTCAAATGAGATTTTGACCCAAATGTATACTGTAATTATAATTATTAATTCCAAAGTCGAATAGAAGTTAAGAAAACCAAGTCAGAAATGGTCTTTCAAACTTTTTTGAAAAGAGAGTTGGGAACCGAACAACTACACACCGGAATTTCTTGATCTTTTCTGGGAGACTTCAAAGCTTCAAAGGCTATAGGGTTAACCTTGGGTGCTTCGCTATATGTAAGTCCTTGAAGATCCCCTATATGTCTTTCTCGCAGGTCTGTATCTGTAACAACCTGATTTGAGACCCACATAAAACTGATGAGCAGCTGATATCCACATATAAGTATCAGATCAGCATACTCTGGTTGAACAAATCAATCTGCATATTTTAAACTTTTTAAAAAATTTAAAAAGGTTTACATATACATTCCACTAGATTAGTCACTACAATATTTTGTTTGTTTTGGGCTTTTTTTTATTTATTTTTTATTTTTTATAAACTCTTAGTTTATGTAGTATTTGATCATTCTCACCAAAATTGTCATTTTTGTTTCCTTTTTGTTATTTAATAACCACAAAATCATATTGTATTAACTATCTTATGCTGAAGCATTCTTAATTTTATGAGCTGAATAGAACAAAGAGAAAGAGGGGTATATTGCATCTCATCAAATTCAAGTCCTAATATTAGCTCCCCTGATTATCCCCAAAGAGGGGTATAGTTTCATTAATTTGATAAACAAACCTGAAGCCCACATCTAGATGCTATTGTTTCTGCTGTGTCAAGAGCCCTTTTCAAATCAGATGAATATATAGCGGATATATTAGGCTCCTTTGATAGTCTCTCAGCAACCTACAACCAAAAGGGAAAAAAAAAAAAAAAAAAAAAAGGATAAATTTAAGGACTACACAAGATAACCTAAATCAGTACAGAATGTCATAACTTACTTTGATGGCTTGTTGTCTCCCAGCCTCGTTTAGATCAATGTCCGTCTGTCCCTGGAGCATTAACAAAAGAAGTAGAAATTCAAATAAAAAACAGACACCAGTTGCATATGCATGAAGCAAAAAATCAGCAGTATAATGAGAGTACCATCTAGGCATCTGCTGTTTAAAGGAGCAAAGTTTGTGCAATGCTATAAATTTCTAGTGAACATTTATCAGCCAAATTCTACTTATATTGTTAAAAAGAATAGGATACTAATATACTATACGAGCTTGCTAGAAATTCAAAATAGCCAACAATCATATTATGATATAAAGACCTATGTGAATAGGTAGAGTAGCTTGACTTTTGAAACAGAGAATACCAGCGAAAACTGGAAAAGAAAATTATCATGGTAAATCAAGTCTATATATCTAGGACAAATGACTCATATTAGTTGATTGTCTTCTTCTTAGACTATGTTTTTACCAAATAACTATTGAACTCATCTGATATGAGCTATATGAGCTTATTAGTCCAGAACAACACATTTTATTTTTGTTGTGAAAGGAACTTATTTTCTCCTTATTAAACCCGATAATTGTTTTAAAGAGAAAAAATGGACATCATTTTCATCTAATTAAACTATTGTCTCACTCACTAAAACTCTTTAATTCGGTGTATAATGTGTTTTTGAAGTTCCTCTCGCTTGTCAGTCATCACAAAGTTAAACTATTGTATCAACTCGCATGATGAATAGAAATATCAGTCTAACCTGCATTTTGCTAAGAGCATTCCATTCTGTTTCACCATGACGAACAACGATAATCTCTGTACAAGATCCATCAACTAGCCCTGCTTCTCCAGCTATATTACCATTCTTAACGCTTTCCATTGACACTAAATACAAACTGTACACCTAAATGGAACAGCAAAATAAAACTAAAAAACAAAAGAAAGATGACAATTTCAGAGGTAGAGAGAGAGAGACCTGGACTGAGATGCGTTTCAGAAAATAGCAAAGAAATGAAGAGGCTTTGTTAAACAGCTGAAGTTTCCTACTGTATTATTGGTGCATATATGCCGTCTTCTCGTTGACTCGTTGATGTACGTAGTCAGTCTTCTTGAGCAATCAACTTAAGCTGGAGTGCTTGCTTTATTATATTACGTACCGAGTATAAAACTATGAATGTGGACGAACATATTTCTCTTTTATTCTGTTTTGCTTTGTCCTGTCTCTCTGACGTTGATTTCTCTTGTGAATTCCACTCAATATGGACCTTCGAAAATTCCATATCAGAAATACATTATTTTTTCATATAAGAAAAAGTTTATAATAAAAATATTAAACAGGGTATACAGAGGTTCTTCACAATGAATCACAAAGATACTGCAAAAATAACAATCAGCTTTCAGAGAGGGTTTTTACAGCAATATACAGTACACGGTCTCCAACTCAGAGCACATACTATATAGCAGTGTTGTCTCTTTAGCAGGCCTAATTCAAATTCCTGGTTAGAATACTTGTTTACGTACATGGCCAAGGTAAAGCTACATCATGTCGTGAGCAAATGATGCGAAAATTAATACGCAATTCTTGAAATACATCATGTCTAAATCAGAGCACAAATATTGGCTAGCCTGAAGAAGCATCCCCACCAAATGCTGATTCAAGAAATTCTGTTTGTTTGAGGTGACTGGCATCATTCCATGATTTGATGGACCACAAATCCCCATCACACAGTTGAATTATGCCAACTGATGTATTAGATATTTTCCCTGGATGTTGTCCTTTGGCTGCAGCCCGGTTAAACAGTGATCTTATGGCGCCCCCATGACTGACTACAATTACTCGTTGCCCTGCAATGACAGCATGCAACCAGAGCAAACGCAACATGAATTGTCTGTATTTCAAAAGATGCAACTGAAAACAGCTTCCTACAAACTATTTTCTGTAATATTTAGCCAATAAATGTATACATGTATAAATAATGGAATAGAAGCAAGGGTGGATAACCTCTATGGTTTTCACCAATTTTCTGCACCAAAGACGTACAACGATTATAAAGCTGATCACGACTTTCACCACCACCCTGCACACAGTGATGTTGAAAAATCATAAAAAACTTTAGTTCGTATTTCGTATTTCATATTTCAAATGAGTGCACTAAACTATCAAATGAGCATAGAGTCCTTACACACCGGAATTTCTTGATCAGATCTGTGAGACTTAAATGCTTCATAAGCTTTAGGGCCAAGTTTTGCCAAGTCTTGATAAACATGTCCTTGCAGATCTCCTAAATGCCTTTCCCGCAGGTCTTTGTCTCTAATAACCTGTAGTTCAATAATTGCCAAAATTAAATAATAAGATAAAGCATTAAATTACATGATACAAGTAGTGAAACTCAGAGTAGGTTCACTGAGGTTTAGACATCAAAGATCAATCCCACACAATGACAGACATCTAAATATATACCAGCAGTGAAACTCAGAGTAGGTTCGCTGAGGTTTAGAGTCCATAAAGATCTGTATGTATACAGCCTTTCTAAGCAAAACTTTTCCAGAACAACCTCAATTTCTAAAGTTTAATAGGAACTAAGAAGTAGATTAACCGGTTGGATTCTTAAGAAATTTGCATGGTTATTTTCTTTGACCCCGATACTAACCAAAGAAACCCACACACATGAAAAATTTACAAAAGTTTTCTTAATTATGGCCAGGATCACTGTATCAAATATATAAAAGCAAACACTTCTACAATGCTCCTTTTCTTCAGCTGAAATCTCCTTATCTGAACTTATTTTCAGTTGTGAATTGAACTTAGTAGCACTTATCTAACCTACTTGAACTCATTGGCCCTTAATTGAACTAATGAGCCCTTAACTTAACTAAACTAAACCTTATAGGTCTGATCTGGACTTAATTTTTCAGACACTGGTTCCATGTAAACAAGAAGGCTTTCAATTCTCTTTTCATCCTCTGCTTCAATTCCTATGATTGTTATCCTTACAAATCCTTCAATTATGAAGCCATAAAGTTGGAAATGTTTATCATCTCCTGATTTCAGGCTCATAATTTATACTAAAATAAACCTAATTCAAACTTATAAATCTTACACCATAAATAATTAATTTTTAGACTCATCAAATGTCTTCCTAACTAGTGATAAAGGAATCCTACATCTTTGAACTTGCACTGAAAAAAACCATGCCCAGTGCATTGTAAACATTCTACATTTATAGCATTTTAACTTTAATATCTTTAGCACAGTAACTGACCTCAAGCCCACCACATCTTGATGCTATTGCCTCTGCAGTCTCAAGAGCCCTTTTCAAATCAGACGAATATATAGCAGATATGTTAGGCTCCCTTGATAGTCTCTCGGCAACCTAACAGAAATCAGGATTAGGCGAGGCACTTTGGCAAAGCTAGGTACACAACCAGACAATATTATCCTCAACTTACTGCAACTGCTTGCTGCCTCCCAATCTCATTCAATTCAACATCCAACTGACCCTGATGAAATAGGAATGAAGGAGAAAATAGACATAGAAACAGTCATGTACCGCATAAACTTAGCAATACTTCATAGTAACAAAATTACTGCTTAAATCTAAGTCTCGTAGGTTAAAAGGGACCAGTCTGCATTACACCATATGACTTAAAATGAACCATGAAATCAAGAATCGATCTTAGGCACCTTTTTTCTTTATTTCACTTAATTCTGTTGGCATGACATTTGAATCAAATATGAGTAATATACAATAATGTTTCTTATATCTGATTTGCATAGAACAGTAGTCCTACCCCAACAATGCTTTCCTAAAATTCTACTCCCATCACCTGTTCTTAAACTAATTTATCCAATTTCTAGTCCATTTACACAATCACTAGCTGTCAAGCTCAACCCATTTACATAAACTAATTTGGCTAATTTAATACATAATTCATTTGTTAGCTCAACCCATTTACATAAACTAATTAGGCTAATTTCATACATTATTCATTTGTTATTGCAGAGTACAACATCAGCATATACAATGAAACTTATAGCAATGTAACTGGATAAAAAGATTTGACAGGATACGAAGGCGAGCAAGAGTAATCAATCAATTTCCTTAATATATATCCTTTCAAGAATACTTAATCAATTTGCCTTTCAATATTCCAATTTCCTCGAAAGATCTAAAATAATAACACAAGCCTACTATCCAAAATTCCAAACACACAGAAAAGAAAAATGATGGAGAAATTGAGAAAATCAACCTGCATTTTGCCAATAGCATTCCAATCAGTTTCGCCATGACGAACCACGATGATCTCCGTACAACTAGGATCAATTGACCCAATTCCATCACTTTCTACTGAAACTGAAACCCTAGTTGATTATCACAAACAACAATCATCAAAAAAATTCGAACTATCCAACGCATAAATTAACAAGAGTTCATTCAAATTTTGCAATCGAAAACAAATCAACAACAATCAGTAAAAACAGTACAGCAAAAAATTTAGGAAGACAAAAACATTAGAGATGAAGAGAGAGAAACCTGGAATGAGATTCGGCCGTTGTTATATGACTGCAGCTTGTGATTTTGCGGAGATTATTGTTGTTAACGTCAATGCTGAAGAATTTAGTTTGGAAGGGTTTTGGCTTATATAATTGTGAAATATTCGTATTTGATTTTGATTTTGTGGTTAAGAATTTGATACAAGGAAAACAGGAATATTCAACAGGAGGGACTGAGGGAGTTACACTGCTCAACCACATACTATACTTTTTTTTTTTTCGAAGTAACCACATACTATACTAAAGCATCATTTGCTTGCAAGGAGTTGTTTGTTTCTTTGTTTTTTATTTGAGCTGGGCACGGCCGTGCAAGCAAAACTCGCGCTTGTTAGTTGTTACGAATAAAGAAAGAATCATGTTGTGCTGAGGTCGTGTCAATCTTTTATAAACTGAACTTGTGTATGGTCTGGACCTCTGGTCCATCAGTCATGTGCCGTGCTATCTTGGTACTCTGTATGTGCTTGTAGTTCATGGTCACCAGAGGTTTGTGAATTGTGAGGGACTTAGGGTGAATCAAACAATTTTCATGTCATATCTAAACAGTCCGTTAACACATTAATATGAAGTATACAAAATGAAAGACGCATGCGTAAGTGTCATAACTTTTATAAGCAACAACTGTAACCATTTTTTTTATTTTTATTTAGTACTCTGTATCCGTTTATATTTTGTATTCTAATATCAAACATCATATACTCTGGTAGATGAATCCATCAAAATCAAGTACATTATACATACTATCATGAATTACAGTAATAAAAATTAAATTGCAGACAATATAACAACAACAAAAAAATTAAAGTTCAGGATAAAACAGGCATTAAAGGAAAATAAAACATATAAATGAATTGAGCAAAGCATAAATAAGCTATAAAGAGAAAAGATAGCTCCATTTCAGATGGTTTAGGTAGCTAAAATGTACATCAAAAGTTGGTACATATATTCTAAGCTTTGCAAATTTTTCCTATTTTACCATCTATACAAAATTCAAGATATCAAGCCCATCATCTATGCTCATCCAATTCAGTAAAATATCTTCCATTCACGAAAACCTGCAATGTAACATATAAACGATATCAGTTGGACGAGTTTTGTTGATTTAACTTAGAGAAATCAAAAGCCTCTGCGTGTTTAGGGCCAAAAATCTTTGAACGACAGATAGTTCATTTTAAGAATATAAATTTGGCAATTTAGTTTTCCAAGACCATCATCAAAATCTTGCAGGCAAGCACATGATAAATAGACAATATAGTACTCCGTATATAATACATCAGGGCTTGGATTTACCATTATACTAATCTGGACCAAAAGAAAGCAAGGTGGGCTACTTAAACTTCTCACATACCACACAGATCCCTGAATTTCACATGAACATTCTAGTGTAGGTTTTCTTCTCTTTACTGTGTCGATCAGCAATCTGAAAGCACATACAGATCAAAAGGTTAGCTCGAGCTAACAGTGTTGGTTATTTCACACTACTCTTGGTCTGACCTTACAGAATGCATGCTTTGAAAAGTTAAGATTACCTTTTTTTTCGTGGCAGCAAGTTCTCTCTTTATGCCACCTACAAGCAACTTAAAGTTAAGAGGCCTTTACCATTTCAAGCATCCCACAATATAAGATGAATAGATGATATATTGGAATTATTGGATGATATACATAAATGACGAAACTAACCATCATTCGGTTCAAGTTCCAAAGCCTTCTCGTAGCATTCAGCTGCTGAATCTATGTCACCGAGAGCAATAAATGCCTGCATTCGAAATGGTATAGAATGTAATGTTTCATCAGTGTGCATAATTTGGAATTATGCTTGTGGTTCTTGTGGACAAGGGGTCTGGTAAGTGGTAACCAAACAAAAAAGGAAAACTAAAAATGCTAATATAAAAATAACTGACCTGACCCCTTCGGAAGTGAGCCTTCACATTCTCTTCTTCGTCACGAAGTGCAAAGTCAGTATCCCACAAGGCTCCTTCTATATCTTCCATCTTCAACTTACAAGCCTAAGCAAGAGTGACAGGCTAGAAAATGTTAAACCTTGGAAACCATCTCATAATCAACTAATTGATGAACCATTAAATATTTAGCACCAATGTAGTGTTTAAGAAACTGAAAACGAAGCATTTCAGAAAGGTATTAGTAATACTTATTCTTCAAAGCCCCATAGCGTTCAGCCGAATTGCACCCACATCAGTTAGGAAAACTGATTAAGAATCTTACCGCAGTATTAGTGTATAACTGAGATCTCATTTTCCTCAAAGATAAACTCTTTTCTGTGTACATTAAAAAAAATAAAAAAATAAAATTATAAATAAAATAATAGATCAATGCAGGTCAAAGAACTCTAGAAAAATAGAGTATGACATAATGATGTTGACAAACAAAAAGATCACCTCCATCTAACGATTCCATGTCCCAGCACATATCCAGATACCGCATAGCTTTAAGATATTTCCGAATAGCCATCTTATAGTCTTGCTTCTGCATGTGAAAAAACATTTGATTACCCTTTAGGATACCTATCAATAACATGTAAATTGCAATTTTGATACACCCCCTGCATAACTCAGCAAGAATTTCAGTGTATTTCAAGTTTAATGATCCCATTTTTCAGACAAAATTATCATTTGCTTATCAATGTGCAAATAATCACAGGACCAAATTTGGTCCCAGTAAAATAATTATTTTGTCAAATACCTTAAACCTCTCATTGCCAAAAACCTTGATGCATTCTGCTGCAGTAACCCACCAAGTGAAATCATCTGATTTGGAATCAAGGTCAGATGGCCAGTCAGGGTAAGTGTCCCCATCTTTGAAAAAGTTGATAATGCCATAATCTTCCCCCTCGGGAATCTCTCCACAATCCTCAATGACAATATCAAGCAACGGCCCATTATCAGGATCAACATCAACATGCTCGATTGAACGTATAACACCCAAACCTTTGATCACTCTTCCAAACACAACATGCTTACCATTATACTGATGAGTTTGAGTAGTAGTAATAAAAAATTGAGATCCATTTGTATTGGGCCCAACGTTAACCATGGACAGCATTCCTTTCCTTTCATGCCTCAGTTCAAAGTTTTCATCTTCAAACGTTGAACCATAGATGGACTCTCCCCCACTCTCACCCCCAGATATGTCTCCACCTTGAATAAGTGCTCCTTTCACAATACGATGGAAAGGTATACCCTGTCAGTTTTTCAAATTTGAACAATTAGGACAAGGATATACTAGTATTGTTCTAAAAAAAAAAAAAAACATAACCCTCAGTAAAGATTTAAACAGGCAACCAAACAGATATAACACACAAAATAACTCAGATAACACCCACATGGCCCGCACGTCTTCAAAGGGAACATATATTTCTAATGCTACAAAAACTGATATCTTTTCATCTTCACTTATTTTAACAACAATAATTATTATCTAAAACAGCAACATTAGTCTTATGACTATTACCAGTGAAGGAAAAGCAAAAGCTCTGCCTTATCTTTCATTCAATTCCAAAGAAGTGAAGTTACTAGCCACTTGACAAGTTAGCAAACAGCATTCTGGTATAGCCAAAGCTCATTAGTCATTACAATAACGAAATCAAGTTAATCAAACACAATTGCTACTTACTAGTAGATACAGAGCACTAAAAGTAATTAAAATGTACATTTTGGTAGTGTTGTGAATGTGAATTCAACCATTACTTCTCAACATTACCATTGCTTTTATAGCACTAACTTTCAAATTAAAAAGTTTCAACAATAATCAACCCATAAGCATTCAAGTACAATTCTTCCAATGAAGCTGTAAGCCGATATTCGAAATTGAAAAATTAATAAGGGATTGCACCCTTCAATTCAAGAGACTGCTAAGTTATTAAAGTTATGTGATACAGTATGTATGTTATTGAAGTTGATCAGACACTTTACGCAACCAAGATGCAATCTTTAAACTAAATGCACAACTTTTAATACCCCAGAACAAAAACCCAACAAATTAATTCATCAAAAACCCAAAATCCAAAACATAACATTCAACAAATCAAATGTAATTGAGACATAAACAAACTCACATAAGATTCAATCTTTACATTACACACATAATAAACAAACCCCACACTGAAAATCCAATCAAACAACAAATATAACCCACAAAACAAAACAAAATATCAAATGAAATTGAGACTTAAAACACAAACAAACTCAAACAAGATGCAATCTTTGCACAAAACACATTATTATAACAAAACCCCTGAAAATTAAAAATAAAACCCACACCATACATTCCACCAAAAATTGAAATAAAAAAAAAAAAAAAAAAAAAAAAAAAAAAAAAAAAAAACCTTGTAGTGAAGTGGACGGCCAGAAATAGGGGAAATACCCAATTCACCAGTACAAAGAGCCCTAAAATTTTCAGCAGTTTTAGGAACTACATTATTGTACAACTCCACGACGATCCTTCCTTCAAGTTCTCCTCCAATACTAATATCCAAGAAACATTTTGGTCTTCCCTCCATTCTTGATTTTTCTCTGCAAATAATTTTTGCTTCCTAAAACCCTAGAAACTGAGATTTTTGAAGGTTAAATAAACTATGAAAATCTTATTTATTTTTTATAAAAAATGCAAAAACAAAAATACTCGTATTTAAAGCTGCACTGCTCTTATTAATTTTGGATATAAATTGGAAGGGCTTTTTTGTTGTCTTCATTGACTCATTGTTAAATGATGATCTTTTCTTTTGTTTTCAAATCAGAAAATTTACGTAGTAAAAAGAATTCTGTTTTCTTCAGATCGTGTTGTCCCCACTAAACCTACCGTGCTCTCTCTACCGTCGATTTCACTGTGAGGGGCCCTGTAACTTCCACTGAATTTCGAGGATAGAAGAGATACAGTCGGATCATTTACTCTTTTTTTTTTTTTTACTTTAAAAAAAAAAAAAAAAAAAAAAACTACTCCTATAATAGTGGTTATTGTATTAGTCCTTTATAATAGTGGTTATTGCTCCTATTCCTAGTGAGAAGTTATACAAGGTACTGTACTCGTATTCGGGAATTCAATCATTTAGAGTTTTTGTAGGGAACTTCGGAGGTACGGTGTATTACATCCGGAGAGTTCGAAGACATGCTTAATAAGTAGTTAAGTGGTAGATTGCTTAAATTAGTACTTTGTATGTGTTACATCGTAGCATAATTAGATTTTGTCACAGATTAACAAGTTAATAGTCCCAATTATAAGGCACCACTTTTATGAGGTAACAAAATCAGTAGTGGATCTAATTGTATGCAATGTTTTTTTTTTTTTTTTTTTTTTTTTTTTTAAGGAGAAGAACCCTTACAAAATCAATAGTGGATCTAATTGTATGACTATGCAATGTATGCATGTTGATTTTGTTGATGTAATCGGATTGACTACACATTGGTCCTAGCATGTGATGTTTTTAGTTTTCATTTTTTGGGCATCTTCATTGGCCCAATACACACTAATTGGTTATATCAAATTAGCCTGTGATAAGAGAAGCAATTGATCCTAGTAGGACCAATTTCACTAGTGGGCTAGTGGCTTAACCTTTCATTAAGGCTCACAATTCACAAAGACAAAACACATGGCATTCATTTATCAAGTATTTTAATAAGTATACTTCGTATTATCGTATATAAATAATATAAGGATCTTGCTAACGAGTGTCCCGGGGCATTAATTAACTAATAAATATATTGCTAAAAATAGTATTAAGTTATGAATGCATGAACAAAATCACGCGTCGTTTGTGTAATTAATGTTAGTTTTATTTTAATGTTTCCACTTTTAGCTCGTTAGCTTTTGCCATAATATAATACTTCCGTTTCATAATGCTTTAACATCTTTTGGGTTTTTTTTTTCTTTTTGAGGAAATATGTGGGGGCGTTTTTAGATATATGTTTCAACTTGTATTTTCGAAATATTAACTTTTTATAATGATCAAATTTTTACATTTGTCAAACATGAAGAGGTAAAGTGCTTAGAATTTTTAAAAACAAAAACAATAATACATACTCTGTACATCTAATTCTTTAAACAAAAAAGCAAGATAAAGAGATACTGTGTAGTAAAAGCTTCAGAATAGCGCATGAATTATTTTCGCAACTTTTAAATACTTGATGCGTTAAATTTATGATAAGCTGTAGGTCTGATCCAATCTTTTGCGAAATCATGGTTAATTCGCCTTTCTTTTACAGGGTTATGTCAATTTGAGGTGACTTTAGTTTAGCCTACTAAGGAATTGCCACTCTAAAGTTCATGTCAAAAAGGGATAGAACTAACAAAAGGAATGACTAGGTGTATATTGAAAGCTAAAGTCATATATCATACATGTACTGAATTACATCTCCCAATATATATCCCACTATTCTCTTTGTCTACCTAAAGAATGATTAGTTGTTTTCTCAAAAAAAAAAAAAAAAAAAAAAAAAAGAAAGAATGATTAGGTGATAGAGATAAGATTGATATCAAACGTATTACTCCATAATATAAGGAAAGCAATCAAATTATATGTCCTAATTTGTTAAATACCATATCAAGTCATTATCAGTCCAATCACACCCTTAAATCACGAGATTTGTTTCTTAAATTGTGTTGACCTAACCCTTTGATATATAAATAAGGTAAATCTATAATTATCATTCTCTACTTTCCAAACCAATTTCTTACATATACTCCGTATCAAACTACATTAATTTCTTTGTCCAAAAATTCATAAATAATTAAATACACCATAAATGTTCAATAAAATTACCAAGGACTCAACAAACATTGAACATATTCGTATGACTTTAAAAATGGATACCTACAAGGCTACAGGCTATAATAATAATAAAAAGTATATACGTAGTATGTAACTTCAACCATAAAAAAAGAATGAATTAAACATTATAAATATTAAGCTAATCACTTGATAATTCTAAATTAATTCGAGAAATTACTAAAACTAGACTACTAGTAGTACATTATTAAAAATTGTTCCAACAATAGGTCAATTACATAGGTCAATACTCAATAATCTCCATTTTTTCGACTAATAATAATAATAATTTATTATCATAAAAAATTCTTATATTGAATTATGAAAAATTAACAACAAAAATCAGAATCGCAGCACAGGAAGTCCAACAGCCCTTGAAAACAATCGTAGAAGCAAGAACAACTGTATATTCCCCACAAAACAAAAACAAAAACGAAGTTCAAATTATAAAAATCAAATCTTTAAATATCATAAACAATAAAATAAAATAAAATAATAAAAATACCATTGATCGACAACTTTCTCTTCAGGATCATCAGTACTTAGAAAATCCTTGGTTGAAAGTTCAACTTGTTGATTTGAGGGTGCTTCCATCTCTTTTCTCTTTTCTCTTTCTCTCTCAATATTTTTTTTTTTTTTTTTTGAAGGAAGTCTCTCAAAACTTCTTATTAGAGTTATTACACAATATTACCTTCTTTCGAAGATGAATTGAAACTAGTGGTTATGAATGGGTGATTTCTTTAGGATTCACGTGGGTTCTATATTTATATCACCCTTGTATTGTGTGTTGACTAACTAGGACAATTATTCTTTTGGGACGTAACTCTTATAGACAAGTAGTCGATTTGGCATGTCATAATAAATGACGAATTGACGATGCATGTAACATGTAACAAGGGTCGGCTATAGGAAGGATGGGTAAGGCCGTAAGGGTTGCAAACTTGCAATTCCTACATCTATCTATTACATAATACTAAGGGCAAATAAGGACACTTGGTAACATTATGTTAAAAAATTTCCCTTTAAAAGTATTTGCCAAAAATAAAAAAAAAATTGCCATAATGAACAATTGTATCTAAATTAAATAATGACATTTGCTTTACATAAAATCCAACTTTCTAAAATATTAATTGTTCATTATAACTATTATATGTGGTTATATACTTCATACTTGAATAATTGGTGTGTCGAGTCCTTATATTTTTTTATATAGCGTTTTTATAATTTGGTTTTCATTATAATTTGTTAATAACTAACCTAGTTACCAATACTCATAAAACTTTCAACAAAACGTTAATGACCTAATTTTATTGTACAACATTTATTTATAAGAAAACTTTCAACCTACTTCGTTAGAATTGATGATTTCACGTATAGACAGAATTTGATTTCACGTTTTAAGTGTCACCTTAAAATTTTAACCAAAACATCCACCAATACTTCAATATATCTACTTATATATATAAAAGAAAAAGCATGCTCATAAAACGATTAACACCACAAGTTCTTACTGTGTAAAATTTTGCTGTTGTTAGAATGTGATCTGACAAGGACTTGCAACAAACCGGTGGCCAAAATGCCTTTCCTTTTCTAGCACATTCCTACCTTTTTCCAACTTTTATTTTTCTATCTAGTGGGAGCTGATGAAGTGATTTTATCAAATTCAGGAACCAGGACTCTGCTTTGACTTCAACGGTTTGAAAGTGGTGTTGTAGGCAGCCTATTAGCCTTAAATGCTTGATTTTTTGGGAGCTGGCTCATTTCTCGTCATTAAACTGATCATGGTTAAGTGGTTATCACTTTAATATTTGTTTATTTTGACTACAAATATTATATTACACATTGAAAATTTCTTATAGAAGTAATCAAGTAAATGCTCCTTTTCACATTATGATTCAATATTATTAAAACTAATTAATGTTCAATGTTATCACTTGTTGAACATGAACGGTCCACATGGCATCACATATTAATACTTGTATTTATGTGAGTAGTCATTTAACCAAATCTCAACCCTCACGATTATTTATATCTAGTATTTACAGGTCAAGCACTTGGAAGTAAAGGGAGGAGGATAAGGGATCCTCACCCAAAAGTACTGCAGTTGGGAAGTTTCGACCTTGTGACCTCAAGGTTACCATATTATATGGTGAGCTGTCATCAAAAGTGGAAATGGTTATAGATTTGCATGTAATAGTACAACTGTACAAGAATATATTTGTATATCATCGATCATGTCAATGAAATTCCACCTCATAACATGTGTATTTGTTCATAGATCTTCCTTACCACACATTAGTACATTACCACAGATATTGGCATGACATTTTCTCCACAAACTTAGTTACCACCATTTATACCAACAACCAAACAAGCCACGGGATATCATTTTTAACCGCATTGATTTACAAAATATAAATAGATAGCTGTGTATTATTATGCTATATTTTAAATGATCGATATTAGGATTATTCTGTAAAGAATATCAGAATCACAATACAGTATGTATCAAATTCTAACTATGATTTTCCAACTCCTAGAAGCTAAGCCGGTAATATACAAAAAATCATATGCATAAGAATTAATAATCAAATCTAACCTTTACAACAAATGGAAGAAATGGCGGAAAAATCTCTATGTACAGACTACTGAGTTGTCAAGATCACATTCAGAGAATGTTGCTATGGAGTCATGAAGATAGCATCGTAAGTAGCAACCTGCAAACTTGCGCTGAACTTTGACAGCTTCTTGGATACACTAACAGATTTGAATCCTAGTTTCAAAATACAGCGGTCAAGTACACTGCGTAGAGCAGCTATGCAGCTCCGCATAAGTGGGAAAGCAAGCAAAAACTATCATGCAGAGAGTTTGCATTTGATATGCTTCAGAACTCCAACCAAATCTTCATTTCCAGAGTTTGAAACAGAGAGCGCACCCAACATCATACTTTTAAGACAATTGCATTAACTGGAAATTTCAACCAATTGCAGTGGAGGTGGGATTATTGTAACTAGCTCAAGAATAGATCGTAAAGAATGAAAAAAGTCCACAATCACGTCAAAAGTCTCATGAGTCATGATGAGATACTTGGCCACTCTCGCTAGAGAGCACGAATAACCACAATTGGAGTATGGTGCAGTTGAAACGATTAGCCATGTAGGCTGTTTTCTTTAATTTTATGAGCTTGCAATGCAGTAATAATAGATATCAGACAAGGCCAATGCAGAAGGAAACCCTCACTTGATGTAGCCTCTTCCATTAGTTGTCCATCTTCTAGGGGACAACAAAACTTTTTCAAGATTGGAACCATATATCTCTCTTGAACTATGAGCTACTTTATCCTGATTTTCAGAAATACATTAATCAAAATCCAAGATTATTTTGAACTGATTAACCCACAAGAGAATCAGAGTATATGGATGGATAAGAAGAATGAGATTGGAATTGGAACTTACCATTTGAATCATAAGATCTGGTGCTACACGGGAAGATGGAAAATCCATTTGCTGAGGGGTTCTCAAGAATAGATGGTCCAACAACTTGATAGCAGGTGGTCTGTCTGCAGGGTCTCGCTGAAAGCAACAGTGTAAAAAATCCTTTCCTTCAGGTGACAATGTTTCAGGAATGGGTGGGGATTCTTTCAAGACCTTGAACATTGCGGCAGCCTACAGCAAAAGATAAAGAAACTTATTAATAGATGTAGAGTACATGTACAACTTCATGTTTGCATCTCAACCCGTAGTATGATATTGTAACAATCCATTGATATTAATATACTTGTACAATATCCCATATTGTGCACATTGGAAGGAAAAAAAAAAAAAAAACTAGGCTGCTTAATCATTTACCTCCATGTTTCTAACTTTAATAATGTAACACTGTCTCACCCACATCAGTAATTAGCTTCAGCAAGAATATTAATATCTTAGCAAGAGAGGCACCTTAATCAGAAATAATGAATACAATAAAAAGGTGTGAAAATTTAAATTATTAAACCTACCCCTTCAAATTCACTCCATGGGGGCTTGCCAGTTAGCATTTCAATGATAGTGCAACCCAAACTCCATATATCAACGGCAAAAGCCAAATCAGAACTATTTTCGTTCTGTATCACAGATTGCATGAGCTGTAGGGAAAAAACTTCACGTTAACAACGGCCAATTCTAGGATAATTCTTAAAAGTTTACCTCAACAAGGGAAAACATACCTCTGGAGCCATCCAGTACGGACTCCCCTTTAGAGAAAGAATAGCTGACTGTTCACTAAGCTGACAAGGAAATATAACTCAAATTAGAACGCAGTATAAGCTGTGCGTCTAAGATTGGCCCTAATTTAGTTAGCACTGCATCTATGATTTTGATAATGCAGTAGTTGACAGGAAATTATACACAGAAACTTATGATCATCACCACAACAGTCAACAAGAGTCACCATAGCAAGATAATTTTCCCAAAACCAGAAAAGCATGTAGCTGGAGAATTACCAGCTGACTCATAAGTTAATAGGTGCCTTCTATCAACCAGTTCATAAGTTTATTGTTTCCTTTAGATCAAAAGTGATGATTACACAGTAATCATAGGTACTAGATGAGATGACCCATGGAAGCTGTCATCCTCCATCCTCCTTTGGACGTAGACAAAAAGGATGAAATAAGAGTCCACTAAGTTACCTAGTTCCTAACAAACATCTAGTGCTAAGCTGCTGTATATCTAGTAACAATAAAATTAGACGCATTACAATATAACATCTTGCCCAACATTGCCTTTAAAAATTCATAAAAAATGGAATTTTATACACCCTACTCCATCACTCTCCACAAAAGAATGTATCTAATGAAGGATCAACATGCCTATATAAAAATTTACAAAATATGAAACTCACAGGTTTTGCCATCCCAAAGTCTGCAAGCTTGACAACTCCAGATGAATCAACAAGTAAATTTGCCCCTTTGATGTCCCTAAACATTAGAAATAGGTTAGAGAATTTTAACTTTTATAAAAAAAGAGAAAGAACTGGACAGTGGAAATTAATGGATGGATAAAGCCACAGCACTTTCAACCCCTAATTACCCCCTTCCCTAATTTTTTTTATTTTTTTATTATTTTTTTTATTTTAAAAAGAGGCAACTTTCCCTATACCATCCTGAAAGTACAAATTGCTATGTACTATTAGCAACTCATAACTGAGGAGTATATATTAACATGCTTGGCAGAGAGTTCGTATACATATGATGATGTTTGGGTGATCTAACAAAAAAAGTAGACTATAAATCATCCATATCATAATGCCTCCGGATTAATTTCAGTATTACCTGCGAATTGTCTTCCTGCTGTGCAAGTAAGCCAATCCAGATAATATATGACGAGTGAAATTCCGAACAACTGCTTCTGTGATAGCCCCACAATGCTCACGAATGTATTTATTGATAGAACCAGGATAAACATACTCCAAATATATGTAAAACTTGTCATCCACCTGCATTTCTCATCAATTTCACAAGTAAATGATGTGTTGAATATTGGAATCACATAGATATAATAGAGATCATGCATGATTGAATACACTTACAATCTCACTACCATAGTACTGCACAATATTTGGATGCTTTAGATGGCTCAGGACTTCAATCTCCTGTATCAAAAAATAGAATCAGCAAAACATTGTGGAATATTACAAAATAAATTCAACAAATACATCAAAATAAATTGCCCACAATGAATATGCTTCAAAGCTCAGAGCCAGGGGGCGGCTAGAACGTAACTAACCTAATCACGTAAGCAGGAAAAATTACTCAGGTTGCTCGATCTATTTTTCACTACAAAATTTAATTAGAATAAATTATACACTTGCTCTGCTTAGCTTAAACCACCTAGATCTTGTAAAACACACACCAAATGCCAAACTTGAATATATATATAAAATACAAAGTATATAAAATCAGAAAATGAATCCACGACATAGGTATTTTATTAATTCATCCATTGGACAATTAAGACACTATTGCAGGAGCAAGGAAACATTCAAGAAGTATAAATTAGAAAGCTAACAAAATTTTAAAACAAGTCATTTCATGTTGACAGGGGATTGTAATCCAGAAGTTAAGCTGCGGAAAGTTTTAAGAAATTACTATGGAAAAAAAAAATTTAAAATTTATATTTGAAACAAATACCCTATTTAAGACATTGATATAGTTATTATATAAAATACATATGATGCCTTGGAAAACATTTTGAAGAATTACCTGTTCAAGTTGCCTCATGCACTCAGAAGACCTTTGATCATCAGGAATTAAGTCTACTTCTTTCATGGCACACAAGGCTCCTGTTTCCCTGGACATTCAAAAAGAAAAATTTAAATAGGCAGAATCAATGGAAACCAATGACTGAATGGACCAAGATGAGCACAACTACATACCGGTTCGTTGCAGTGTACACACTTCCAAATGTGCCCCGTCCTATAAGTTTTCCTTTTATCCATTGACTTTTCATGGGTAATAATTCCGGCCTTGAGGTGACTTGAGGAGCAGGAGACGCCGGCATTGAGGATGAAGGTGCGGGAGGAAGAGGTAATGGGTGGACATTACAATCATGATGAGGGGAAGATATATCAACAGATAATCTGGGGTGCAGGGGTGATGGTGGTCCACTGATGCTGTTTCGGGGTGGTCTTGGGCTCCTTAGTAACGGACTTCTAAATGAAGGACTATCACGACTAGCCATAGTGCTCTCTGGTAGACCACCATACGGGAAACCAGTAGGCATGGCTGGTTCAGACCAACGTGCAGGTTCCATTGGATACATGAAAAATGGATCTCCATTAAGCATCCTTTGTGGGCTATACATGGGACTAGAACTTGAACTTGGTGGAGCACTCTGGAAGTTGATGTCTATGCTATAGTTCTCTTGAGGTCGATGTGGACTCTGTATCTTTTGGGGGACATTCCATGATGGCCAGGTTTCTGTACGGTGCACGCTACTACTTTGAGGATCAGCTAAAGTTTGCACATCAACTCCTCGCCGAGCACTAACCCTTTTTTGAGCATCAACAGCAACTCCCCTCTGATCAATTTGAGATGCTACCTTACTGTTTGGAAATGAAATGCCAAAGCAACAGCAAGTCAGACACACCTATGCTATCACACAACAAGCTAATCCTAAACTTTTTGCTAGAGGAATTGACAGCTCTAGATATGATAAAATGAGCTATGTAACTTATTTTCATAAAAAATAAGATACATTAACATTAATCTAACAAAAAAAACATTAAACTAAGGTAGTCAAACTATTTGGCCTAAATAAACATCAAGCGTTTACTAATCAAAAAAAAATTATCATAAACCAACTTACTAAAGTCCGTAGTGTTATATTGTTACAATTATTAATTGTTTCTTACTTCCATTCATGCTCATGCACAATTGTTAATTGGTGTACACGAGTTTCAATCTAAAGACTTTACCAACTAACCTAGCTTGGATTCTCACATTCGAGTCTACTTTTTCATTGCCCTATATAGGACACACAATAATTACTATTGAAGATATTTCTAGTATTCATCTAATACAAACTGAGCATGATAATGAAATAGCGGTAAAAAGGCAAAAAGACATTCCATTTTGATTTTCCATCAACAATTCAACAATCAAAAAAGGCAAAAACAATAAACATTCATCAAATTCAATTCAAAAACAACCTATTATTATAAAAAGTACAGAGTAGTAATTATAGTATTATACCTAGCATTGAGCTTAATGTTATTGTCAAACCCTCTTCCTTTTTCTTTAGAAACTTCAGTTGGCGACGGAAGCCGGAAATTCTCACAATCACCACGCTTTGGCTTTGACTTCGATTTCGATTTCGATTTCGGTTTCAATTTCGACACCGATTTATCGTCACTGGATATTATCTCCGGGAGAGGAAGCGGCTGAGGAGGCGGTGAAGAAGCGGTGCGCAATAAATCGTCACCGTGACGGTGACCGTGACCGTTACGGTGACCTAAAAAGAAATCCAAATAACTAAGGTCACAGTCACGGAGATGACGGAGTTGCTTAGCTCTGGTTAACCGGCGATTATTTGACGTCGTTGAAGAATTAGAATTCGAAGTAGATGATGAATTTGAATGTGTATTTGAATTTGAAGATGAAAATGACCACCGTGACAAATTCATTTAATTACCCTTGTAGTTTTATTATCATTGTACACAAAAATCAATCCCACCATTAACAACAATAACAACTAAATTAACAACAAATTATAAACAAGAAATTGTTGTTGATTATTTTCACAAAAATAATAAAAAAAAAATAGAGAAAAAAGAGGAGTATTTGGAGGAAAGAGAGGAAGATTGTGAAGTGGGTGTTGGGGATGTTTTTGTGAAATCAATTTTCTCTCTCTTCCCTTCCTCGCGATCTTTTGTCTGTTACCTTCCTGGAAGATATCTCTGGTTTTCCAGCAATTTTTTTTTTTTTTAATTTTAATTTTTATTTTTTGAATTTATTTTATTTTTGGGGTGGTGGGTTAGAATTGAATTGGAAGTTCCGACAGGATGAACAATTCCAGATGGAATGCCAACTGATTTGCGGAATTGGGTAAAAGAGTGTATACGTCAAACCAGATCTGCCGTACATTAAAGTACTCTTTGCTTTACTCATCCAACTCTACCCTCTTTTATTAATCACTATGAGTTGCTAATCCTTCTTTACACTTTAATCAATGCCTTAATGATTTTCCTTTTATCTTTCCTCTCTTTCGGTTGTAGCCCTAACTTTTATTAGACCCTTTCGGTGACAGGAATTTAAATTATGAATAATACATATTTTGTACATATGACCATATGATTATTGTATAAGGTGAAGGTAGAAAATAATTTCATTAGAAACAGAAAATATGTATCTAATACGCGCACTGCATTTATTACGTAAAATATGAAGAATCCCGAATCATGTGCCTAAAAACCATGAGAGTTGGCCATTCTTTTAGTCACTCTTCTGTTGTTTGCACACCAATACAATACCCTAGTAATAATAGAATAATTTTCACCATTAGAATATAAAAATTATCATCCATGTTTGCTTAAAGTTGCAAGCATAAGTCGCAGTTTACTTTGTCAATAAACAAATAAATGATATGTATTATGTAGGGTTAATGAATGAGGATATATTAGAATTTTAGTGTAAAATCAGTTGACAAGGGTAACAAAAGAGTTTGACTGATTAAGAGATGACCGTGTGAAATGATAAGTAGGTTGCTTCCATTTTACGCTTAATTAAGCTTAGTAAACTTTCAATGGAGACCACATGGTTTGACTGTGACAATCCTTGATGACAAATCTGCTGAAAAAATGCAACTGAATAGTCTGATTAAGTTCAGCTAACATCGCTATCGCTAACAAAGATAACTTTCAGCTTTGAACAGTTGAGTAATAGAGTTTCAGCTTTAATTTAGTGGATTGCGTCCTGTAATTAGATGGTTAAATAGCTAGTAATTCGTATTTGGTTAATAGTCGAACCTCAACGTTGGGAGATAGCTAGTAATTCATATTTTGGTTAATAGCCAAACCTCAAAGTTGGGAGATGCATATATTACCACTAGACCAAGCTTTGCTTAGTAACTGTGTACATGAATATTAAGGACTTTATGATACCTGATACCATGTTCACCATAGTCCATTACCTTTTCCTAATCTCACATGTCCTTTTTAATAATACATAGGGAGTCCATTTTATAGTTCCACCACCTATTATTTTCTTAAACACAGGCCCACAAGAGCGTGCTTAATTATGCCAAAACAAAGGGAGTACACTTAAAAAATACATTAGTATATATTTAATGCATATGTATGATTAATTACAAAACCCCTCATAAAATATAGTTATGGCCTCTAGAAGGTGGTGAGTATCGAATTCCAATTTTTAGAAAAATAATTATGAGTACATTAGTTAAAAACTAAAAAATGATGCTGCAAGCGTGGTCAACAATTTCAAACAATTGTTTTGCACGGCCAACCATTGTAAAAGTTAATGACAAATACCACGTATTTTTGAATACTACCTGTTTAAATCTAAATAAACCATGGGTTTTAGATTGTTTAGCAAGGCCAACCTGTTTACCATGTGTTTTACAAATTTCAATACTTTGAATCTAAAAGGGAAATTATACAGTATGTTATTTAGCCAAACCAACATAAACACATTTTATCAAAAATAAAAGAAAAAAAATCCACCATGAGCAATTTTATAATAAACCCAATATTATTGACTCTTGACATGACAATTAGTAAATAAATCGATAGATAGATAAATAAAACATATACACACCCAATAACATGGAGGGCTAAAACTAAAACCCACAAATGTCCAATTTATACACCTGAAAACCACATGCCCACACCCTACCAACCAGCAAACCCTCAAAGGGCAAAAAAATAATTTAGAAGCACAAGCATCTAAGCCACAAAATACAAAGGAAATGAATACGATAGATTGGTCATATAATAGAACAAGATGTTATACAAGGGGTATACTTGTCATAGCAGCTTTATGGAGTCACCAATTACTCCTTCAAAGTTTTTAATACACCCTACATCAGATACTATTTTCATGAACTGAAGCAGCTTTCATCATTGAATTATATGGTCCCTTAAAGAAAAGATAAAAAGTAAAAAAAACACCTCACTTATAAAATTAAGTTTCTAGAGGTACCGGATTTTCTACTTCTGAAGCCACAATCTTGCAGATAGGTTTTGTATCATTCCCACTTAAAAGCTTCAATGACGGATCAACCTCAATATCTTTCATAAAGATCCGGTCTCCAATGTCCAAATTGCTAATGTCCACCTCGATCTTTTGAGGGATGCATTCTGTTGGGCAAAGATATTTTAGGTTCTTCCTTACTGTTTTCAGCTGTCCCCCTGCTTAGCACGAGAAGTAATCATGTAAATATCATTTATGACAAGAAAATAATTACCAAAGCACTAAACAATGAATAAAAGGATACTGGTTTAGTCTGTATCCATACAGATTTTACAGAATAATGCTTGAAACAAGAAAGTATGAATGCTTACAAGTTCATCCAATTGTACTTCAAAAGGAAATACAGGTTGGGTTGTTAACAATCAAAAAGTAACAAGTGACACATTTTCAAATCTAGGGTAAATACTAAATACAACTTTGAATAGCAAAGAAAATTCTAATCCTGAAAAAGTAATATTAGAGTCTGTAGTGTAGAAACTTTTCCTTTCAGCTTCAAATGAGACTTGTTGCACAGCTTAAACTAAACAAGAACATATGGCCGTCATTTTATTCTTCTAAGGGCAGCCCTATATTCAACAGACTGACGCACAGAAAAGCTAACTCTCACAATGGCCCAAACACCCCTCCCCCTCCCTGCAGAGGAACCAAGAGTAAGAGATGAGATCAGATACAGAAACAATTAAGCAGAGGCAGCAACTCAACAAACCTTGACTTACTATAGTTGAAAGGAGGCCACATTTTAAATTCTGCTGAGTAAGCAGTGGTCAGATAATCACAGTACCCAGATAATATTGGCAAAATATTGCATTGCATTCATGACGGATTCACTTCTGATATGAAGCCTTTTCTTATCTGGTAAGAGAGAAGTACTTACTAGTTACTACCAGAAGAAAGCACGCTGATAAGCTTGGCTCATTTGAATTTCTTAGCATTTTTAGACGAACCTAATACTTTTCAAACATAAGAGCCCGACAACTATCCTGATTTTCAAGGACAGAGTCCACAAGCAAAGGTTGAGCCTACCTCTAGTGAAGTGTGTGGATGCAATAATGAAGAGATCCTAATAAAATCAATGGAGCAAGGTCAGGTATTAATCAATGGATCCAAGTATGCCATATCTACCTGCAATATCTTCTTTTTCTTCACCTTAATCCCATAAGTGGAATCGGCTACATGAACCAACAGGAAGTCACCCATCCTAGTATTACTCTCAATATATGGGCACAAAATGATGTCACACTATCCATCATGATTCTTATCATTAAATGCAAGCAAATCGCCTGATGCCCTGATAGTAATACTAGAACAAAGACCTCTACAGCATTCTATGATTTTAAGATACTAATCTTCCTTCAGTAGGTAAATCAAAAGAAAACCGGTAGATACGGCGTACAGGTTGAATTAACATAACAATTAGCTCCACTTCAAAGGAAGAGAAGAAAGAAAATGGTTAAAAAAGAGCTGTTATTTAAACCTTCTACAAAAAATAGTGTGTTACTCCAAGATTTGATATTAATGCACTTTTCTTATACGCTGTAGAAAACTCCAACTAAAGGCATATTCAATAATAATATCATATACCTAGTACATTCAACCATATGTACAGATATTCAAAACAATCTTAAACATAAGTAAATTGGGAAGAAAGAGCTGTCCTTGCCTCCTAGGAGGCTTCCAAAACCAATACAAACTATCATATATAGGCAATGATATCCAAATTCATCACAGAAGTAGTAAGTAATGTTCTATCTGAAGTGCATATCCCGATATGAGCAATACTAGCAGTCTAGCACTGTCTATATCTATACGACTATACAGAAGCTATAACGATTAGATATACTGTAATACAAAAACATCACCATTGCTAATTATTATTCTTGCTCGGTTTCGAGGATGGGCGGTAACTTCAAACAAGAACATCAAACCAATTACAAAGACACCAAAAATCAACATAAAAACACACCTTTTTTAAGGCCAGGACAAGAATCTACACCCTTGAAAACAACGGGCACATCAACTTCTAACTTCGATCCTTCTTCCGCCCACACAAACACCATATTCATCACCTTCCCTGTCTCCTCATTTCTCGCAAGCTGCTCCAACACACAAACACAATAAAAGACCCACATTTTCAAAAAGTCAACACCAATCATATCACTGAAAATTTCTAATCAACAAAATTAACATTAAGTACAATCAATTAAGGGCAATTAAAAGAGTAATATGAAATGACCTTAATAGGGAGGACATTTCCAGAATGAAGAAGAACAGAAGACCCGGACCCGGCCCGAACTTGAAGCTTGAAAGTGGTGGAGCAGAAGAAGGAAGGATCCAACTTAGTAAGAATAGAATCAATCTGCTTAATTTCAGTCGTAAGAAGCTGCTTGGAGGTGTTTTCTGCGGTGAGGGAGAAGACGACGGCGGGGATCCGACCCTGAGCTCTGTCACGGGCCGATATTCGGGGGCCCGAAATCTCCCTAGGTATGGCTTGTATTGTATGGAACTTTCTGTAATACTCCGCCGCCTTTCTCAGCCGTTCGCCGCCGATGCGCCACCATTGTTGCTGCATTTTCCTCGATTTTCTTTGTTATTCTGATCTTCTTCGAGTGTTAGGGTTTAACAAGGGTTTTCTTTTTTGGTTAGTGAGTGATCAATGATTCAGTTTGATCAGGTGAGTAAATTGGGCTTTTATTTTGGGCTTGGTTTTGTAAAAGGTTGAAGTGGACCTTTCTGAGTTTCCCTCCTAAATTTTTTGGTCCATTTTTAAATAGGGATACATGAACTAGAAAGTTTCTCCCTTCTAAAATTTTTGGGTTTATTGACAGGTGAATTTTTTCAATGCATGGTTCCTACACCCAAGTGTACCGAGCAAGGTACACTCGGGAAGTACATAGTGCTTACACATAAAGAACACGGTGCTTTTAAATCTTTGAGATGGAATGTAAAAAACATATAATTAGAATTAAAAAACATATTGTTAAAAAGTAAAGAATGTGACAATTTTTAACATAGGTTTTAAATAAGTAAAAGATAATTACTATTTTATCTTTTTAGTCCGCATCTAATGGTAAATCTTTTTAAGAAAATCAGTTTCTCATAATAATTCTATGTTAAAATTTAAATTTCATTTTCAAAATTTTGTCATGCTGGTTAAAATTTAAATAATGTTCATTTTATAGTAATATCATGTTCATTATTATTATTTTTTATATTCATTTTTAAAATTTGGTCTGGTGTCCATTTGGTCTGGTGTCCATGCGTATAACTTGTAAAGTTCTTTGTATAATTTAACAAAGTTCTTTATCAGAAAAGATGATGCACATTATATTTGTTTATAATATACAATTATATATTAACGCTATGTTATTTCTATACATATGTACATTATTATGTCATATAATGATATTTTTTAAATCTTTTAATAAATTATTTTAAATGTCCATGTTCTTTGATGATAAGTTTAATGTACTTCTATAGTCACATAATATTCATTGTTTAATGGTTAATTAATGTATTGTTCATTACATGATAATATCTTGTTCTTTATCAATAACATGGAGGTCCTTATTAATATTATGGATGCTCTTTAGATCTAAATGTCCATCATTGTCCCAAAAAATTCTCATTAACCTTCATAATCCTGATTACAAAAAAGGGGAAAAAAAAACATGATTATCAGATATTCTAAATTAATTTTTAAAAAATGTAAATTATTCAAAGAACATAAAAGAACATGTATACATTGTTTTTTTTTTTTTTTTTTTTTAAAAAAACATGTATACGTATAATACTTTCTTTTTCTCTAAAAAAAAATTTTTTTAAAAAAAAAAAAAACAAAAGAACATACTATCAAGTAAAAAGAACATTCTTCGTATTATTAAAACCCAAAGAACATTTTTAATCTACATATACCTAAACATATGGTTCAAACTCAAAGAACATATATTAATCCGACTCAAAAATACATATTTCATTCCATTAAAAAAGATAAATATGGATTAAACAAATAAAAGAACATTCATTATAGTTTGAAGAACATTATCTTCAACCTCTAAAAATAACACAAATTTAGAAAAAAATAAAATAAAATTGCAAATACTAAAAATTATTGAAAACTTGATACTTTCAATATCGAATTTGTTAACCATGATCAATGAACAAATATAAATTATCATCAAATAAACATCAAAATAATGAAATTTTAAAATTAAAATAAAAAAATCTAACTTTACCTTTTTATTGGGTCACGAATTCCTCATGAATCTCACCTTCATTCTCAAAAACATCATTCTTATAAGCATTAAGAGGAGATCTTCAATCATAATCGTGATGAAATTCACCACGCATTATCATTTTTCTCTATGTAAATTTCTCTCTCTACAAAAATTCTCTCTTGAATTCTTAAATTAAATTATAGAAAATTATGGAAATAAATATTTTGGATGCTATAAATATGGAAAAAAAAAATTAACAAGTTCCTTCAATTAAGGGAGACATATTTGAAAACTGATTCCTTTTTGCAAAAAAAAAATAAAAAAAAATAATTAAATAATCAAAACTACTGCTGTAGTTTTTCATCCGGGTGTACCATGCTTGATACACTTGGGTGTACTATAAAATTTTCAGAATTCTATAGAGCACTTGATATAAGGTAGTAATTTTGATCAACTTAGGATAAAATAGTCATCACACTTTAATAATTTATAAATATCATTTTCCTATAAGATTATAAGGCTACTTAATGCTAATTATCTAATATGGGTTCTCTTGTGAGCATGTAGGAAAGATCGCTCCTTTAAAAGGTCATCATTCAGTGTTTGGTATAATTATATGCATTTAATGTGTCATACGATACTATAATTTCCGGTCCAAAAATAAAGGTTCAAAGTCCATATAGTAAACTTTAACCATTAATAATCTACAAGTATGTATATATGTTTTCTTGTCAAAAAAAAAAAAAAAAAAAAGTATGTATATATGTTCTATGTAGCACACCCAATATAATATTTCTTCTAGTCCCTTTTGTTTTTGCTCAAGCGTTTATATATGTCTTGACTATGCAAAAAGGAGTCGCACAATCTTGCATAATTAAAGGTTAGTTTTTTGCTTGGCTCATATGCACTTGAAGCTCAATCACTATCACTTGTTTATTTTAATAACAGTTTACCAACCTAATCGGGAGAAAAAAAAAAAAATGATATCTTGGACTCGAAAAATAAAGTAAGAGATTTTTGAAAAAAAATGTAGGAGTAAATAAATACAAAAGTTGGGCTGCTAATGCCCTCCTTGTATGTTGTCAAAAAAAACAAAAAAAAAAAAAACAAAAAATACAAAAGTTGGGCTGCTTTTAACGGATTTTCACACGTTAGCCGCATAAAACAAATTAGTCGACGAATTTGGTTGGATATGATGTCTACCATCCCACATGCATACATCATACATTGACATTATTATGTGTTCCTTTCAAAAATAGTACGAAGTAAATGTTTGTACCAGAAAGCAGCCTTTTAAATCTGATTTGAATTGAAGGAAATCTATTTGCTTGCTTCTCAGTAGCAGTATGAAATTAAAAGTTCATCTGATCAACTTTAATCCTTGGCCTTGATTCACTAGCAGTATAATCGAGCAAAAGCTGCTAAATCATTTCATTTTCTTGGGTGACTGTCTCTTTGTACAGCACATATTTATAATATGATTTGCATGTAAATTACACAGAGTACTTCTTAGTATGATCTCGGGATAGACATGTGTGTGTATCGATTACCTGACCCTAGATAGCTAGGTTAAAGAGTGTTAATAAAATGAATAAAGTAAGATAGGATAAGTAGAAAATTCTAATTAATTAAAATAAGTCGAAATTACATGAGCAAATTGAGTAAAACAAATAGAGTATGAAATATATAGAGTAGACAGGTCCTCACCTATTACGAGTACTATTTATATTCCACATAATAAACATTAAAATTGACCAAGAATAATTACTCCTCCTCAGTCCTCATCTATCACTACTAATACACCACATAAAGTAACAATTATTTGTCCTAATATTTGCCAAAAATAATGAAAATAAAAAAGCAGCAAAGTCAAAGCATTGGGCTAAAAGCGATATGAAAAAAGAGGGGGAGAAAAATAAATGACAAAGATATGATATGAGAGAAAGAAAACATAAATCATGTACATGCTCATCCAAACACCAAATAAGTCAATCCACTCATCATCATTATTTATTTATACTAACCTTGATTTTATTAGGTGGTCCATTTTAGTCAAAATAACATATTGATATACTCCTATAAATAGTTATTAGGTAAGATCTTCCCTAAATTTAGTCATGGCTAGTGGATAATTGAAATTGATATGTCCAACTTGTAAGGGACCAATTCCATTTGTCTATGTGGGAATGAAGAACAAAAGGAGAGTATGAAATCATCAAATAAAGTAAGTCTATGTCTTTGTAATGATGATCATGTGACGAACCAAAAAGTGAAATGTTATTGTGTATCAATTATTCATATGTGATTTGCTTGCGCTACCAATCCTACCATATCTAATGGTAGAAATTTAAGGCACCAACTGTATACATTACGGAGTATTTTTTTTTATTTTTTATTTTATTTTTTTAAAAAATATATATATAATACCTTATTATCACCAGTTTAAGATTAGGTAAATTAAACTTCATCGATATCTATTTTAATTTTCGAAAAAAAAAAATAGTGTCAATGATGGTAGGTTTTTAGTTGTTACACCTTTTTCTGTTAGATTTTTACGGGATATGATAAAAAAAAACAATTGAGGAGTGTTATTCGATTCATAAAATCTTTTAGGCTACTGGCAACTTCTTATGGCATACAAATACAATTGTACTCACCTTCGATTCCTTAACAATCTGATTTTCTAAATCTTATGGAGTAATTTCTTTTACTTTATTTTCTTTGTTAACAACTATTCATTATTTTGTATTATCATAAATACCCAACCTTGTGGAATGATGTTATATTTAAATATCTTCTATCGAATTATTTTCCCTTAATAGTTAAACATATCTATAAGTGCGTTTACCCTTTATTCCTTTAATCTCTGCTTAATACTTTGATGGTATAGTAAGCTAATTAATGATAAAAATGAAGATAGTATAACTTGGTTTTAAATATCAATACAATATACTTGTAACCCTTTTTTTTTTTTTTGCTGTTCTACCCATTTCGTCCTTTGGGCTAATCCGGATTATTCGAGGGTAGTTAGGTTCCAGTCCCCTCCCAATTTTTGTTGCGGGGAATCGAACATGTGGTCCTCCCTACCAAGCTAAGTACAACCCCAATCACCACTGCACCAACAACCAATTGGTATACATTTGTCAACTTTAAATACAAATGCAACTAACAATTTCTAAGAAGTTATGTGAGCTTAAGATTAGACCTAATTCATATCATTATTCATAAAAGGATTCTTCTATAAAGACTATGCAAATTGAATTATTAAAGCATTTTTTGTAATGCATGCATGGTACACCGATTAATATCTTTTAATGGATTTATGGAAAGCATAAATTAAGATTAATAAACCATTTTTCTAGCAGTTCTAAGTATCCTAACAAAGCTTCGGAAAATGTTGTAATTAGGTATCGTAACAATAACTAAAACATGATTGCTAAAAACATAATTAACCTGATAATCTAGACATGATTAATTGATGAGTAGCTATTTAGCTAGGGAAGGAGCAGGAAGAACCCTAAGCTAGCTAATACAATAATAATGTGAGTAGGTGAGCAGTTAAACTTAATAAATAGTGACATTTCATTAAAATTTGTTTAACTTTCAGCATTGCGTGTATGCTCTATACATCTGAATCAACAGCCAAACTTCAAGTAATGACAAAATCCTAATACGACCCCCTTTTTTATGAGGAGGAGATATAATAATGAGATAGACAAATTAAAAATACAAACGCCAGATTGAATTTCTCCCTCAAGTTTACATTTATGGTCCCGTGGGAATATATACAGCCAACTAAGAGAAAGAGTTTACCTCACAAGTATAAGGAGGTTCCATCCCAAAGACCCAAGATCATATACTTGTAATATATATGGCAATAGAAGGTTGAGCAACCCCTCAAGTGTTTTAACTCTCCCTAGTTTTATAAATGTGGGACGTGAACATGTGTTGTTAGTCAACATCTACACTTACTAATAATAGCCATCAAGTAACTTATTATTGTTCATTTATTTACTACGTATCACATATGTGGGAATGCAATCTCAACCCCTCTACACTTATACAAGAAACAGTCAAGTAACATAATTCAATTTTTTGATGAGTATAATTTATTAAAATTAAAGCTACTAAACCTATAATTTCTCATATATAGTTGAGACGTTAGGTAGGTCACCTTGAAATCAAAACTCTAGATCACAATTCAAATATTCAACTCTCTATTTGAAACTAAAATGAGGATCATATCGTATCTAAAAAAACGGAACAAAGTTGGTATACATAAATATTAAAACAAAAACACTATTATATCCCACATGATAATTTAAATTATTGTATCTTAAGAACATTATATATTTTTAAATAATCAAAACATTTAATTACCAAGATCATAGTCCAAAGTCACGGTTCAGTGTGATTCTTTCGTTTTATTAAAATCTCTTGATATTGCAACTCACTTTTTCTAATTAAAAAATCATGATATGAATATATGGAACGTGCATCAAAGTAATACGTAGTAGTCATAATTTATTAGCAAATTAGCGTAATTACAAGTACAAATCACCATTGGTAACTGATAAGCATATACTTGTATATATGCATCATTATATGAATATGCTGACTACAATGTAGTGTATAAGTATAACTATTCTTGGAGTTAGCTAGCTAGGATGAGTATTGCCAATGTAAGGATATGCTCTTATATTCCCCCGTTGAAAACTTACAAAGTTGGTGTTGTGCCTTGCCACGTACAATTATCAAAGTGACGATCGACTTGTTTTGGTTCGCATGATTAATTTTTGACGCCATTTATTTTAGGGTACTTATACGAATGTTCGTTGTAACTCTTGTAAGTATAATAATGCAATTAGTGAATTCCATATGTGTTATTTTCGAGGTTATGTAGGAGAAGTAGAAATTATCGTATTGCATCTAATGAAACATGAAGAGTTCGTGTTTTAATTTGTTAAAATCCTGTTTGTGCCTTACATCGTTCAAATTTTATTCAAGGATAGATTTAATATATTATTTAGTACGAAGTATAACATGAAGAGGTCACGTTTATTATTCACTAAAACTATTGTCGTTTATTTCAATATGTCATCTTTGTTGAGTGAATTAATATCTTTAACACATATTACCCATACCCTAACCTTAAGGGCATTGAATTGGTCCATAGATATTAGGTATCGTATGAGGTATGAGGTTGGAATATGTTAAATTCATATCTAATGTATGTTTGTATAAGAAAATTCTAATTTCTAATCATATACCGCAAACCCAAAAAGTATGATGGGGAATAAAAACCCAGGAGGAGTGTTGGGGTATGACTCATAGCAAATCCCGAACAACACCGTACCAAACACAAAAGGTATTAAGAATCAAGCTCCAACCTTAATTCTTGTAGCCTCATACCACTCTTATTTCATTCTTCTTGATTCCAAATACATAACACTTCCCCTAAAGTTGATTTTATGCACTTCATATGTTCATCAGTTCCTTTATCTTGGATGATCTATGTTCATTCTTACACAGGGTGCGTTTAATCTACCCGATTTTTAATTTTTTGAATTTAACTAAACTTATTTGAATATATTTGAACTTATCTAAACTTTGTGAGTAGCTCTTTTTACTTGATCTTCTTTGTCAAACTAATTTAATCTATATTTTACCTTTTATCAAATCTTATCGAAGCTTATCAACACTCTATTGAACTTATTAGACCCTCTGATAACTTATATTGGATGCAAATTGAACTATAATGAAATACGTTTTTTATTAATGAATGATTAGTTATAGTATGATGGTATGATAATGATATCAATCATATGATACATTCATACATTATTAATTTAAATGTATGAATCCATTATTTTGAATTATTTAAGCACCCATTTAAAGTTTAAACACAAGAATTTATTAATGGCGAGTAGAGTAGCAATGAATTGATAAAAAAAGTTAATTAGAGAAATACCCGGATAAGTAAGGAAAATAAAATCAAAAATAAAAACGGTTTTGACAAATGGGAAATGAGATTCATTCTAAAAAAAAAAAAATTGGGATATGAAATAGGATCATCCAAGATTAGAATACTCGTATTTGGTATTTTCCAAAAATACAAAAAAAAAACAGAGGACATTTTAGTAAATTCCATAATTCATTTTACAGTACTGTTACAGCGCAGTAAAAACAAAAGGGGTAAAATCGAGAAAGTCAAGAAATGACAGAACAGAAAGATTTAGGATACAAAATGGTGAGTCAGATTCATAAAACTGAAAATAGGAACAAAATCAAAAAATCAAACTCCGTATAAATCTAAAATCTAATGGCTGAGATTGAGTTACACTAAAAATCTAAAGGTCAATGTTAAAAGACAAGATATATTTAGTTGAAGGTTCATTTCACTAATATATACACACGCTCACCCACACGCTCACCCTTACTCTTTCTTCTTCTTCTCCATCTCTCTCCATCATCAGGTCCCTGCCCCCACCTCCAAAAAAAAAAAAAAAAACAATTGAATATTATTCCGTCAAAATCCCTTTTAATAAATAAAATTAAATATAAATACAAAATAAAGCAGAAATTTGGCTTCGTCTTCGTTATGGTATGTTGTCTATTTCTCCCATTTTTAATTTTTTATTTATACAATTTTTGATATTAATTATTATTATTATTATTATTATAATTATGATTACGGTGTTAATTTGATGTTAAAGGAGTATTCGTTGGTATTCGGATCCTGAAAGTGGGAAGATCGGATCCAGGGCACTTTCTTTCTCTCTTTTTTCCTCCGGTAAACCACGTCATTTTAGGTTTTTTTTTTCCGTATATTTTCGTCATTGTATTACGATGAAAACGACGTCGTAATCCGGAGTTTTTCCGGCAATAAGTGTCAGTATGTAGTGAAGCTTGAAGGAGGAGAGAGAAAGAGAAAGAGAAGTGTGGGATGATATTGAGTGGAGTCCAAGACAATCGTAGGTGAATTTTTTTTAATATAATTAATTTTAAAATATTAAAATTAAATATAATTACTCTTAATGTTTGAGATTTGGTTTGTAATTTTCCTCTAACGAATCTAGATAATCTTCTCGATAAAACGTTTTAAAGGAATGATTATTAGTGGTTAGTGTATAATAATTAAGTTTAATTTTGATTTAAAATGGTTTTGGTTGTCATTTTTCAATCTTTCTTTATTTCATTTCACTTGTCTTTTAAGGAGTGTTAACGATGATTAATGAATGCGACAACTTTCTTGCATTTTAAGTCGGTGAAACTATTTTTAGGGCGAAACGCGTTTTAGGTTTTTTTTTTCTTGATTTTGATTGGTATGATAGCGAGATATTGATTTCTCTGGTAATATGAATGAATGAATGAAGCAGCATTTTAATGGAAATTATACGAGTTGTTGTTTTTAGGTTCATTAATGAAAGATACTTTCGTGTTAATTACTACTAATACTTATTTTATTTCTACTAGTACGAATTAGTAGTATACTTAAACCATTTTAATTTTTCAGTACTATTAAAATTAATCCATATGATTTGAAAATATGAAAAAAATATGAATGAATATGCTTTGCGATTCCCTATATATCTGAGTCTAAATCCATGAAACTTCCCCCTCTTTTCTTTATTTTCTCTCTCTTCCCCTAAAATATTATTCATTTTTTGATTTATGTCAATCGATAGTTCGTTATTTTCCAGATTTGATTGTTGATAGTATCTATTTTTTTGGCAGTATTTGACGCAAATTCATTCTTTAATAAAGGATTTTTTTTTTTTTGGAAAAAAATAAAGGGGAATTGAAGATTATTGAAGGTTTCTGGAAATGTCATCGTCAAATTCACCGTGTGCAGCGTGCAAATTTCTAAGGAGAAAATGTACGCAAGAATGTGTGTTCGCGCCATACTTTCCGCCGGATCAACCTCAACGATTCTCGAATGTTCATAAGGTGTTTGGTGCTAGTAATGTTGCAAAGCTTCTGAATGACTTGGATGCTACACAGAGGGAGGATGCTGTTAATTCGTTGGCGTACGAGGCGGAGGCGAGGCTGCGTGACCCGGTGTATGGTTGTGTGGGACTTATCTCGCTTCTGCAGCACCGGTTGAAGCAAGTTCAGACTGATCTGTATTCTGCTAAGAAGGAATTAGCTACTTATATTGGGCCCACTGCGCTTATGCCTATGATTCAGCCTGGTTATGCTAACCCGGGTTCGTCTTCTGGTGTTAATTTGATGCAGCAGCAGTATCATATGGGTCCTATGATGGGTATTCCTACTGGAGTTGCTGCTGCTGGTCCGGGTCCGTCTCATGGTGGGGCTTTGATAATCAGAGAGCCGCAGCCGCAGCCACAGTCGCAACAGCAGCAGCAGCAGCACCAGTTGATTGAGGTACAACAACAGCAACAGTTGGCAGCATTGGCGGTGAGAGATGAGCAGGAGTTGTTAAGAAACTGGGAACTACAACAGCAGCATCAGCAACAGCAACAACAACAGTTTATGAGGTATAGTGGTGGGTACGAGGGAGCACTGGTTATTGCTGGTGGTAGCGGAGGAGGGGGATTTAATCAGGCGGGGCCTTCATCAGGTGCTGTATCACCGTCTTTGGCTCTTGGGGCGGCCACATTCGATCCAAACCCGTACGCTCAGATTCAACCACAGCAGCCGCCACCACAGCAACAACCGCCGCAAGATGATCAGTCATTAGGGCAGCTGTTACTCCTTCAGCAGCCAGTAACGCCACAGCAACAGGAACATTTAGAACTGGCTCAAGGAATTCCTCATCATGAACAACTTCCTCAACAACATTTACACCCTCTTCTTCATACTCAACATCATCATTTTCATCAGCAACCCATTGAACATAATCCGCAGCAGCAGCAGCAGCAACAACAACAACAACAACAACCGTAACAGCCTGGAATCGATGAGGGTAGGACTCTTGGTCCAGCTTTGTAGAGAAAAAAGAATGCACATTCTGGAGCTCAATAGTTTGATTTTATTACTTGCTAGCTAACAAGCTCATCTGATCTCTTGAACAAATTTCAGTCCCTAGGTAACTTCTAACTCCATTTCCTTTATTTCTCTCTCTTCTTTCCTTCTGTACAGTAATATTATTGAATTTGCAGATTTGTATGTTTTCCTGCTGTTATTGATTGATGGATATATTTTAGTTGGTGAATACGAGATGTAAAAACTGCATGGCGTGTGTTTTGAGAAATGGAACAAAATGTAGTTTTGAGGGTTTTCATGACCTCTGTGTCTCTTTCTGAATTTATTTTGGGTTCAGGGAAATGTCACATTCAACATTTAATTAAAATTCAACATTTAATTAATGTTTGTTCTTCCTTTCAGTTTCAGAGTGTTTTATCACTTTGTTGGCTTGTTCTATTTTTGCAATTTTAGTATCAAAGCTCACCTACTAGTATGTTGGGGTGTCGCCATTAGTACTACAGTGATGTTTTACTAAAAGAGTAATTTGAGAATTGATTATTCAGGAGAATCTTTCTTGCAATTTTTAGTTTTGACATTGCTAAAAGCTAAAAGATTTTGTGACATAATGTTTAGTGATACATGATCCCATTGATTGCAACCAACTTACTACGGAGTATGAAGTACGCTATATACTCGTAAGAGTCTAACTTTTTCTCATAGAATGTTAATTATGGTTGTCAATTTTTGACGATTAGACTATAAGTGTGCGTGCGTATATGCACTCTTGCATTATTAGTAATGCCTAATAGTATATCAATAATTGTACTTTAATTTTGATGATTGTCAATTGCAATTGTGCAAGTTGTTTGAGTTTTGTGTCAAACTCATGCTGCAAGCTAAGATAAAATTCTTCTTCTAATTTCCTTCTCTGACATTTTCATTTAATCTCTCTTTCTTGTAATATTTTATTTCAAAGTTTCACTATCTTCTTGTACTGTGTGTTGTTAGTATTATTTTACAACATAATTAGTAATATATGCCCTGATTTATAAACCTAAATGTCAAAACTTGGTACATAAAATATAGTCCTCTCTTTGTTTCAAAAACATGATGTTAAATGTCTTGTCTAACATGGTTCCCTTTTAATTATACAAAAGTATTTTTTTAAAAAATTTTAATATTGTGATATAAAAAGGGCAAAAATGGATATTTTCTTTATCAAGTGGAAGGGTTTTTCGGGAAGAAAAGAGGTTAATACCTGTCCATAAATTAGTCTTTATATGTGTGCAAATTTAAAAAAGTCAAACATGAATTACTGCCATGATGCATGTTATTGGATCATAAGTGGAGTGATAGAGCTTATATTTTTCATTAATAAGTTAAATTAAACCACTTTTGGAATATTAAAAACAAATCTAGTGCTGTAGTTGCCTTGAATTTGGAGAAGAACTTGACATGGTTTTTGGAGGTGGGATGAAAAGGAGACAAACAGCGTGAAAAAATTGCATGATATTGTAATCAACTATATTATTGGGATCTTTCATTTCTCCTTTTTGTCTTTTGTTTTTTTGATGATTGACTTTCTTTTTGTTGTTCAGAAACTGCTACTTGATCTGCACCCAAAAAGCTTAAAAAAATTTGTGTCATTTTATTTTATATTCATAGATTAAGGGGATATCATTTTGTCTTTTTATATACAATAATCTTTGATTAAGAGGCTCTAATCCTGAGTTAATGTTGCTTTTTTCGAACTCTACAGTAGTTTGACTCGGATCACAAGTTATTTAGCTTATTTTTAAAATCTTATTAATGCTTGTTTATGTTAATACTTAGTGCTAATTGTTTTGCTTTTGTGGTTGCAGCTCAGTTGATGCATGATTAGATGCAGTATTATAATACACAAGCAAGAGTTGACCAATGACAGTAGAAACAGAGGTGAAGCATGAGTTCTTAGACATTAAACATCTGATTTCTGATTACCATAATATTTTTGTAAGTCCACAGAATTTTTCTCTTATATTTTTTAGTCTTTTTTCCTTTATTTTTAAAAATTTTGGGCGGATGGGAGGGTGGTAAGAAGAGAGCATAGAAATTGGGGTATATTCAAGAAATGTATGTTGGCATATGGATAAAATTTTGTTCCCATTTACTATAAATATGGAGTACATTTCTTTCTTTCTTTCTCTGGTGAAACTATATTTTTTCAGCTCAATCCTATGGCTAGGAAACAATACAGTCTGTTCTTTGTTATGGCAAGCCATCTAATTAATTGTCTAAATTTACTCTTTATTAATTAAATGTCATTAGTTGGTCATGATCATTTTATAAGTTTTACTTTATTTATGCACATGATGCAGTTGTACAATAACTATTAGTTGATGACTATTAGTAGCAAGGTTTAATCTAGGAGTTATCTTATTCAATGAATGTATCTTACGTACCGAGAAACATACATTACTAGAAATTTGTACGGTCCAATTCAACTATTTCGTGTATGTAATGTATGGAAGTATTTTGTAATTTAATGTCTATTACATATGAGTAGAATATCTAATAATATACCCTTGATAACAATTATTGTTAAATTGAGAACATTGCAATTTAACTTTTACAAGTAACAATTTAAGGGGTGCACCCTACAACCCTAATGTCAGATTTCCTATAAAAGCCACATGGTTTTAACTATTTTCAGTAAAACCTTAATGAAAAATCAAACAAAAGGACCACTGGTTGGTTAAATGGCTACCAAACAATGAAAAGTTTAATAGAATTTACTGCGCAGTTCGTACAATAGTGGATTTAGATCACTTTAGTAAGTTTGTGGTAAGTTTGACTAATCAAGATGGTACCATATATTATTTCAAGTGTTTGGTGATCGCATATCGTAAATTTCGAAAATCTATCTTTTAACAACATTGTCAAGATCGGAGTCCTTGCGATTAAGTTGTGAAGTGAGAGGAATCTTAAGTTTCATATTGTCAAACATTGTTTTTTGTGTAGAGTACAAAATCATCACATCCTTGGATCCTCCTACATACCTAATATAACCTATTCACCCTCAAATTTAAGGTCAAATCTCTAACTTTAAAGTTTAGAGACTTTTCACGATAGAAGGTAAGACTATATTGTTTTTGTTACTAACGAGTGGACGGTAAGATTACCATTGTAGATTTGTAACCTTCCTAATTAAAAACGGAGTTAGTACTAAAGTGCTTAATTGATGATGGACGGGGCACAGTTGTGCAGGCAAAGCACATTGATGTTCATGTGCATTAATAAAATATAACTAAACTATGCAAATTACCATCCAAGTAACACTTTAAATAATTACGTAAAACTTAGAAGTAAGTATTTGATTAATAATATCCTAAGAGTTGTAATGGACAGCTACTAAACTAGGCAGCTAATAGCTAGCTAACTTCACAGTTACTACTAATACGAGTACTAAATTTTATATAGTTGAAGAAAGGTTTATTAATTTCTTGGAAGAACGTTATATTCATTTGCACGTGGGTTATTTCTACTAGGTTGAAAGACATACCAGATTACCAGACCTTTTCATTTTTAATTTTTTTTTCCTTCATTATTCGGTGGTCAAAGTAACTAGTTAAGGCAGCTGCTAAACTGTTACTTTAGTCAATATTTTCTCATCTATCTTATTTGAAAATCTCTCAGTTGCACAACTTACCTATTTCTGTATTATTTTACATAATTGAACGTTGGTAATCTTCATTCCAAGCATATATACTATACCGATATATAACTAGCCCATTGATTGATTTCTATACACATAATGACTCGATTTCTGTCGTGCTTTGTTCTTTTAGATACACATGCCCAATCATCTTACATATGAAAAACAATGTATTTAATTTTCTTACAAATTCTTAGATGGCAAAGGAGAGTATGTGTTCCATTCGAATATATGTTAGTATATAATACGTAGTAGCTAATAACGTGATAAAATTGTCAATGAAGTGATGTACCAGGTTCCTTGCATTTAAACAAATCATATCTCTATCAACCCCTCATAGCTGTCCGTTTTTTATTTCCTATAGTCAACAACAGACTCATGTCAGACAAACCAACCCCAAAAAAGGATAAGAAATTAGGGTAACAGAGGTTAAATTATGGGAGATAAAGGAAGAGGAAAAACAAACTTACAGAAAGATATGTTTGTGATTTATATTCAATATGTAGACAACTACTTGACGACAATAAAAAGGGAAATAATAGAGTCCATCTTTTTATGTTTTTGCTTGAATTTGACATTTAGTTTTGACACATTTGAAATTACGTATTACCAAGTTTTTCATTCTTAAGAAGGATGTGAATGTCTATTAGCAAAACTTAGCACTATAAGTTTATCATCTATCACCAAAGTTTCTCTCGTGTAAATTGTAAATGTTTTGTACTCATAAGTTGCAAAAACTACCAATACACGTTATTCACCCGGGCTTATTAAGGAATGGTACGCCAAAGATGGTGTGTACGTTCACTACACATGTTTATTTGGCTATGACTCTATGGCAATGAGTGAGGTATGCAAATGCACTAACTTGAGAAGTACAGCTACATCGTACATACCATCAAGCTAACGTATATGGATGTGATACGTGAATTAAGGATAGTTGAGATTCAAGGCTTGAACATTACATGTACATCGTTGTATTTACTCCATACATACAAGATAAAAGGCGGAAGCTAGAGAACATTTCGCGCAACTTCAAAAGTTCTTCCGCTTCTTGGAGAAATTCTCTCGTGTGGGTGTAATGCATAGTCCAGTTTAACAACTAAACATGCAACTTATGTAAGCTATATGTTGCTTTCACAAAGATTTAAGTTAGCTTTATGCCCCATTTTAAGTAAATTTCGTGATTAATTAAAAGGTTAGGTAACTTTGCTGATGCTTTATCAAGATTTTTCCCTCCTCTTTGTCCTTGACTTTAGTTACAACTTACAAGCCTGGCCCCAGGTTTATTATAATTAATCGCTAAATTGACTTCTTTTTTAAATAAATATAAAAAATCAAAAAATAAGAGCAAATAAAAAATCAAAAGGCAATTGTATTCGCTATCAAAAAGGTATCATATCACCACATACCACGTATGATATTCAAATAATTCCAAAGTAGACTTGGAATAATGAAAATGGAGGACAAGAATGTGAGACTGATCCAGAGTATAATGAGCTGCAATTTCACCTGTTATGTTTTAGCTTATGTTATGCTTATTCTATTTGTATTAGTTCCAGTATATTCTTACACGAAATTTCAAAAAAAAATGAATGATATCTTGCCAGCCTTTCCCATGTTCAATTAATTAGTACTCGTAACAATATAATTTATGAAATATGATTAATGGCTGATAGAAATGTCTGCCAGTCAAATTTACTGGGTGGAATGGTATTCCATGTTTGGATAAATCAGAAAAGGATTGAGGCAGCAATATAAGTAAAATAATAAATCAGTTTTTTATAGGAGGTATACATCAATCTGGTCAGGTTGAAAATTCGAGTATGAAAAATTGTTGAATTTCTCTTCATATTTTTATAGTCACATTTTTTAAAAACAATTGAAGGCAAGGAAGAATAAATATTAAGATACCCTTCTCTCGAGTAATCGATAACATCAAGACTTAATATTTTAATCCAGGGCTGTCTAACGTCATCAAGAAATACGGAGTGTAAGCTTTATAAAGTGATTATAGACCTATCAAAAGAAACCTATACTTGAGTCGGTCCAAGGATCTTTCTAGAGTAAACAAAAATAAATAAAGAGGAAAACTTCTCAACTGTATTTACAACAGATTATAAGTTCTTGACTTCTTGTAGCATGTCTACTGTTAAACTAATCTGAATCAGAGGTTACATCAGAGTATGGATCCAGAGTCCTGACCATGTTTGATAATGTCTCTCCCATATCTTCAAGTTCCTCCTTTCCAAAACCCCAACTATTCATTAATTCTCCTCCAATAGCACCATATTGAATACCAAATTTCCGAAGGTTTTCCAGCCTGCTGGACAAGAAAGGTAATACAGCACTGCTAGAGCGCAGTCTTGCAGCCATAGGGATAGAATGGACATCGAGTGGTCCCTTTGAAGATGAAGTTGGATTAGGATTGCTAAGTAATTGTCCACAGCGACCAACATTTTCCGAGAATATGGATGGAAATGGTAATGGTATTGGGAGAGGGCAAGTAACTGCAGATAGATGACAGAATCTAGGCCTCAAAGATGCCTGCTCATAAGCAGCAGAAATAGCATGTTGGACTTCAGACAGAGATGCTCGTTGCTCACCTGAGTCCGAAAAGATAGTTCATATTAGATCAAGTGGCAGCACAACTACTACCATGTCTTCCAACCCCCTAGTTCCCAGAAGGACCTTAGGACCCTACACATACAACCTAGTAGAAACACTATACACATTCAAGTGGAAAGATGCAGACTCAACAGGAGTATTAATTTGATGAAGAAGAAATGCTATGTGAGGCTAGGGATGATGTGGCTACAAGCATAAGATATCAACAGAAAAGCAAATCATCCCTAACTATCGTATTCCTAAATGAATAGAAGCACAGAATCCATGTATCACCAATAGAAGCACAAATTATTATCTATGGATGTAGTGAGTATCAACATACGGAGTAGTTAGTCTACACCATAAAACAGGCATATGCAGATATAGAGTACCTGATTTAAGAGCTCCATGTATCACCAATGTTTCTACAGAATGCACGTCTTCCATTTTCTCCGATGTTTCTGGAGTCAATGACTGCAACTTACTCAATAACTGTTCCTGAGCAGGTTCCCCTGAGTCTCACATCAAAAAGGGGGGAGAGCACCATGAGAAGACATATTTTATAAGACACTAAGCCAGAACAATTGAATTAGGTAATACCAATAGCAGGTGCAGGGGTAGCATCTAATATAGCAACCATATTCTGTCGGAGGTGGCCAGATAGCATCTGTGCAATGCTATTGATATCCAAAGCACCAAGAGAAGATCCAGAAGTTGCAGTAGGAGCAAGCATGTCCATGCGAAAGGGCAGGCTGAGAGTGTGAAGAGCAGCAGCATAGATTGAACTGCTATGGAAAGGCTTTTTATCATTCACATGCAGATTTGTTGAAAATTTGCCTGCAAAAAAGGATTTTAGAAAAAAAAGGGGACCTTTACCATATAAGCTACAAGTCAGCCCAAATGCAACAAGTTATATTAGCCAGAAAGTATCAAAACTTACTTCCACCCAGAGAAGGTAAACCAACTGGTACAATTAGTTTGCAGAAAGGAGAGAGTTTTGCAAAAGAAACTGCATCATGAAGGTCCCGAGAAATGTTCCTTTTTCGACTTCTAGAGCTCATTGATGAACCAGGATCGCGAACGGTATAAAGTAACACTGGAGCATTGGTGAATTCATCAGCAATGTTCTGCAGAAAGTCTACTGCCACACTGGAAAAGCCCCCCGAATCATCCACCACACATTGTATTCCCTGTCAGCAAGTTTCTGACTTCGTAAAATAGGTTTTACAAAAATGCAAGTTTACAGAAGTTCCTTTAAGCAACAATATAAAGCAGATAATTTGTCAGTAATTTTCTGAAGCTAGACCATCTAAAAACCATACTACATGATAAAAAGGCAATGTTTGAGACCAGAGGTTACACAGAACATTTAGTCAAGACAAAACACCATGAAGTTAAATCCATTAAATTTGACTCAGCAAAACAAATAATATGAATGGGTGACAGTGGATTTATGTCGCATGAACAGAGCAAATATAAAGCATAAAACCTTATCATTCAGCCCTCAGGAAGTGAGAAGTTAAAAAAAAAATTCAAAACTAGCCAGAAACACTTGGATCAAGATAATGGAGAACCAAGAACAAAGCTTGGTATGGCATATACATGAACAAAACCACTTTTTTGTTGAAGGGAGAGCCTTTTTTGTCATATGCTTTTAAATAGTAAGAACCCACTGAGGAATCAGGGGATGAAACTTATGGCGGTGAAAAAAAAACCTGGGTCATGTCTTGGATTCAGGAAGGGTATAATCCTTCTAGACTAGCCCACCAGCTCAAAACAAGCACCTGAATAGGCTAAAAAAACATGCACTCTCAGAGATAATTATGAATTTTGCTAGATACCTGTACATGATCACACTCTTCTATGAAGAAACGGAGTCTTTCGGTCATCTCTTCTCCCCGAAAACTTTCAGAAAAAACATCCTTTCCCATACCATAATTATCGAATCCCTCAACATCCATCCACAACCCATTTATTTCATATAGACTCTGTGGATGATAATGGGCTTTTGAGAAGTCAGTCCAGAACTGGACATCATTTTCCAAAGATTCCACTATATCCTTGTCTCCAATATCATCTGGCAAATCAGCATTTCTGTTGTCTTTACCAATTTTTTGCTTCTGCTCTTCCTTATATAAACTTTGCAAGAATAAGTTTCTCTTGTAAGACTCAGAACGTTGGGTGGATACACTGCCTTTCCTGAAAGTCAAACTCAAAACCTTAGTTTATATACCAACATTATAGGAAATATGAGGGATATAAGTAAATCGTAAATGAAGAGTACTTGTAGTTGCTCAAGATCAATAATGCAATGACACTTTGACCATTTCATATTAAGAGAAACATTAGATATTCATAGGGTAAAAAAAAAATACGTAGTAATGTTGATTCATAGGAGTAGTATTACGCAACAAGTCATTCGTATCGGAAATCATATTGATATTGGAAAACCTGAAGACGCATTCTTCATGTTCACAGCTTCACTATTTCACTAAGTATGACTATAGTTATGCCAGACAGCCTCACAGCTCACTGGCATATGAGGTTGCCTGCAACTCTGCTATGGGCTATTTGATTCTAGATTATTGGAGAATAAGTGCAAATAATGAACTAATGAAGAATAGTGTACACTATTGTCCCACTTAAAAATATTAAGCAGCACTTCCTTTTTCTTTGGAGATGGCAAAATTATTAAATCATCCTTTTGCAATCCCAAATTCAGCAGTCACTTTAGTTTTCAATTTAACAGAGATAGGCTGATGAATTTCTGTGTTTGCGCTTTCTTTCTCCAGAATGATATTTTAAAACCACTAAAGCCATAAGGCAATTTTTTTATTGGGAGCATGCAATGCATTTGATCACACAGGTCCCGTAAAGCCTCACCAGGTGGCCACAGGGGAAGGTGATTCTGGAGTCTGATTATACAATGTACCATGGGAGCTCATTGATCCAAGGGATCCTGGTTAGATCACAAAAGGGAAATGTCAGATATCCATGATGCTTATGCGAGAAGAAAAAATGTCCAAATGATCAACCCCCAAATAGGTCACCAAACAAGGAACACAAAAACAACTATATTAGGAGAGCAAGATCAGTATTATGAGCTTATGCAGTTACCTGTCAGATCAGAACTCAAGCAAGTTAGAAATCCCAAAACATTAGACAAAATGCATGCCCGCATACAGTCATATGTTTACATAAATACCTATACAAATACATACGTAACTACATGTATACACACACAGATACATACATAAATGGAGCGATAAGACTAATAACTGTAGTTTGATGAGCCACAATGGGGCGATTACAAACATAAGGGTAACTGTATTAGCTGATGGTATCAAGGTTGCTCTAAGGATAGTTTTGTATGACGACTTATATACAAGCACCCAAACTATAAGGCCAAGTCACATGGGAAATGACTGGTGATTTCCAGTCCAGACTTCATTAAAATCCATTATTCCATATATATATATGTAAACAATACAAGTTGGCATCAGCAAAAATCATACAAAAATAGGACTAATAATCCATTAAACAGACTTCAGTCAACACCATGGGTAGAAATATACATTTCCACGAAAAAAAAAAAAAAAAGAACAGATGCATATATGCTGAGAAAAACAACATACCTAGATAATTAACAGAAACTAATCGAGGGGTATAGGTAAGAACACCCTGCAGACACAAATAGACAGTTATTTGCATTTTCTCTCAATCTCCCGCCCCAAAAGCAAGAGAAATCAGCAGGCTGAGGGTGTTGCAGAAGATAGTGGGGAGCATAATACGCACACTAGAATACTAGAAAGTGAATAAGTTCCCTCATTAGAGTCAAAAACTAATTATTTCAAAGTCAAATTGCCTCACACTCTTAGTCAAGATTATTAATCCATCTAAGCTATTAGTCTTAGAAAAGTGTTAACTCAATTAATGCTCATATATTCTTTAATTCATTTACAGGTAAAATATCTATCTTCCACTCAGATAATATCAGCATTCGAAATTGTCTAAGGGCTTATAGTCTTATACACAAGTTTTGGCAACTAGATACTGAGACTGTGACAGCCAGATATATCAGATTATCATTTGTTAGCAATTGATCACGAGCAATTTCAAAAAGATAGCAATCCAGCTATCAAATTTTACTGAGGTAGAAAGCTACAATGACATTACACACAAAATGGTACTCCCTCCGTTTTTAAATACTTGTTCCATTTCTCCATGCGCGGAGTTTTAGGAGAAATTGGAGAAAGTAATAAAATATGGAGGTAGTGGGGTAGATGCAAGAATAAAAAATTGAAAAGGCAAATATAGTAGAGAGAATATGAAATTAATAAAATATGATTTATGTTGGATCCACTAGTTGAGAGAAATGAATTAAATATTGTAAAATCTTTCCAAATATGGAAATGGAGCAAGTATCTAAAAACGGTCGAAAATAGAAAGTGGAGCAAGTATTTATAAACGGAGGGAGTAGTTTCAAAGCCAGACAAGTAGCAGTTGTAGCACAGTCAGCACAATAGCACATGATACTGCTTCTCAAGTAGATTAAGGAAGAATTATAAATTTATATAATGACATGATCCATAAGCTAGATGGTTGATCAATATTACCCTTTGATGCTGGTACACAAGGTCACCAAATAAATAGATCATACAAGGCTGGCTTGTGGAAGTATTTTAAAGCTCTAATGCCTTCTTTAAAATTAGAAAAACATGCCAAAATTAAAGAAACCCCGCCAGCAACAAATCTTACCTCATGAGTCTCTCCAGAGCGATAAAGCACATCCATGTTAACTCCGGGATTTTTAAACACTGGATCAGTATCAGGGTCACCAGCCAAACCAAGCAGCTCATCCTTCAAAAGAGAAATTAAGTCAAATGTAATTCTTTAACTCTATTCTCATTCAACAGAGGAATTAAGTCAAATGTAATTCTTTAACTTCATTCTCATTCATTTAGTTTTTTAAAAAAAAAAAAAAAGATTTTATCATTAGCTATACTCAAATCAAATCAAGATCCTTACAAATAAATAATTAAAGGGGAAAATACATACATGAAGTGATGAAGGTGTCACCCAATGGTAGGAAACAAGAATACAAGATAGAAAATGTTCATCTATCTTCTGATTTACCATGTAATTCAGAGAGAATGAATTGAAAGCAAACATGAAATAGCAAATAAAGCATTAAGAAGACTCGAATTCTTATATAGCTCTAGGATCAAACAAGCTCATCTCATATTCTCATGTAATAATTTGATGAAACCTCGTTACTTTCGAAGTCTTAACAGTAATGGCAATTTTATGATTGTGTGTTTGAAAGAAAACTCAATTAATAATATTCCAAGTACAACAATAAACACATTTAGTGCAAGAACAACCTCAGGGATAAACAACACTCCATAGAATCGACTATTGACATATAAATTCTATTTCACTACGTAATTTAGCACTTAAAAACCCCAAATCATAATTTCACTACCATGTAAAATTCCGATTCTCGTCAAAATAAAATAAAATGATATTGACAGTAAGGTGTACCTGGAAGTTCCAGAAATGGGAGCCTATGAAATTGGCAAAACCTCCAATTTGAAGTGTAACAACTTCCCTCATGTTGCCTGCTAAACCACAATACCAGTAAACCCAGATGCACAATTAATCGCCCAATTAAAAACTTGTTATAATTATAAATAATAAACCAAAATATAATTGAACAGATACTGTTGATGCTAAGCAGCTAGTAAAGTGCAGTATAAGGATTAAGGATGACAAGTATTATTGAATTTTCATTTTTGAAGAAATGCGCATAAGGTGTTCGATAAAATGCCAATGTGAATTTATGCATACCTAAACAGTTTAAATAAACCCTAGTAGCTAAATAACAACCGAAATCTGAAAGAAAACAAACAAAATTTAGAGAATTTATGTTGGTGGAATTATAGAGCATAATATTTACCTTCTAGTTTGAAGAATAGTAAGCAGAATTTTCAAGAATCAAAAGATTAAGCAATCTTTTGCAGCAGAATGAAGAAGATGACAGAGAGGAGTAGAAATGTAGAATAGCGTGGGAATTTGGCTGTGATGACTGTGAAGAAGATGAAGTTGCGTTGGTAGCGGCTTCTGCGCGCAATGGTGTGCAGGTGCTCCGTAGCTTGAATTTGTTGGACGATTAAGCTCAAGTCAGAGTTTAGTTAGGGCTATGCACAAGTGCATAGGCTCCATTTTGTATCGTCTTCAACTTTTGATTTTGTACATTTTTTATGGACTTTGACGTGTTATGGATAGCTGAAGTAGTAGGATGACAAAGGTAAAAATCAAAATTCATTCTACAGATTATTTTTTATTATATCAAAATAATTGACATTTTTGATAATCTATCCAAAATTAGAGGAAAAAAATTCATTATCCCCATATTATATATAAGCACAAATGAAAAATGTATTTCGTTCACTCTTGGTTTTAAATTGATGAAGAATAGATAAGCACTGTAATTAACAATGTTGATGTATCGATACTCTCATCCTGCTTTATATAATTATCCAAATGAGCTCCGGAAGCAATTATGATTAACGTTTCATCATCTTCACATTCACAAAGTTTTATATAATTCTATGCAATACCTTTTATCGAACTAATTAATAAATTTGTAAATCGAATACAAACGTATTCAAAAATAACAATTTTACTATTTCAATGTACACTAATTTTACAACCCTAACACTTAAGGGGGTTTTAATATTTTCAAATCGACGACTATTGCTTGTATCAATAGGGTTCCTACCGCTAGGTGTCTAGGCTAGTAGAAGAATGCTAAAACTATACTTGATGTATTTTAGTTGATTTCCAAACTATAATACAATAGTAAATATTTTTTTCCAGATTTTGTATGAGTTCAACTAAACCCACTAGTAAATTTCATTCCTTATAAATAAAAGATGGTGTAATATAATTTCATTTATAAAACTCATTTTCTAGCCTAGTCTTTAAAAACACAAACCCAAATATGCAAGTCGTCCCACTAATGATTATCTCGATTACTTTATTTGATTTTGTCTCTTTCAAAATTATTAATATTCCATTGCATAGGAAGGATAGTACAAGTCACAAGTCAGCAAGTCATAACTCCACCTCTAGTACACCGTATGTAGGAAGCTGAAATATTCATCCTCCTCCAGAGTCCATATCATAATACATAGTTCCATTAGTTACAAACTCTTGAAGATTTATTTCATCATTCACTTTAACACTATGAAAACAACAAGACAATAAGATGCATGAATGGGTCCTGTTTTTTTATACCCGTAGAATTATTAATCATAGACAGCAAATATCTTCAAAATAGCCAAAACTCTCAAAGAATATATTACCCATTGAATTTCAGATGATTCTCAACCTTCCATATTTCTCCAACTGAATTATTACCACACAATATTGCTTCCTGAATAGACTATCCACTGTCTCCTCCCTCGTGCCACGCCACGTACGCCACTGCACAGAATAGTTCTACACTTCACATCAACTCTCTAATTACGTACGTACTGCTTTGTTTTAAGATCTCTATCACGGGCAACTGTACTATTTCTGCATTATGCAGTACAGTTTAGCTACAAATCGTTTCAGAACATGTTCTACACAACGGTTGCATTCTGTTGATCAAACAAAGAGAACCATGTAATTGTCCACTAAGAAACCTTTCCAGAACTAACTTTGTTCTCAGGTAGTCAAGGATAAAATCATATAAGTGGGTGATAATTTCTGTGATGGCTGTGATAGACCAGCAGAGATCAAAAGCTCATCGAATGCTTGGTGACTGAAAAATTACCAATAACAAAAATGCAATTGCACATTTCGCTTGTACATACAGTGAAGTTAAGCACATCAGCATCTCAAGTAAATGTAACAAAGAGGCAGAGGCACAATGTTATTATATAACTCAACATCAGTACAAACAATAGGAAAAAAGAGATATTCCTAAATCTCGCTGCAAAATTTGTTAGGGCCTCTTCCCTCCTCACTAAAGCCCCGAATGAGGGCAAATGCCAAATGGAGAGCATAGCAGTTCCCACTTCCCAGCATCTCCCTTCGTTACATTCAATAGTATTCGATGCAGCATGTCAAACCTCTGCATTCCACTATTCCAGTACATTATACATACTACATTATACCAAGTATACCCACCCTAGTTCCAAAGGTGTGTATGATTAGCACTCACCTATAAATTAATGTATGTCAATTCTCTCGTGATATCTATATATGATGCTGAACCTTCCAACTCTGGCCATCAGATTTCTCCTCTTCATCCTCTTCCACGCTAGAAGAGTTGCATTTCCTTGACTCCCCCAAGTGAAGTGGGCCTTTTGGTGAACCTGAATGCTGGAGGTCCGTTGTCAAGCAGCCTAATTCAAGCTGATCTCCACAGTCAATTCCTACGTCAGTTGTCAATTGATTGGTGATGCTAGCAGCTGGAAGCTTTCGGACATGAAGCCTATACTTCTGCACATGAGCAAGAAGGCAATACATTTAGCTATTGAGCCTAAGGATAGATATAGGCTTCGTCTAAAAACTCCTAATCATACAGCCATACAGGAGTATATCATCAGCTTGCCATATACATCTTAGAAGTAGTTCCGGTCTTCCATTGCATTATACAGGCAAAGAAGCAAACATTTTGAGATCTCTTAGAGAAAAACAAATGAACATCTACGAAAACCTTTTTCTCGCGCCTATTATTGTGCCTTGTCCTTGTCCTATACTAACCAAAGTAAGTTTCAAGCTAGTCTAATACATACGGGAGTACCAAGTTGAACAACAACCTAGCAAGAATTTTACCAAACTCAAAAACCTGATTAGAAGCCACCAGAAAATAATTTATCGACCAAAAAACCAAGGTGCAGCGAACCAGAATCTACCCAATCCGACGGATCATATAACCAAGTAACATGAATATGAACGTCCCTCATCTCTTGCATGTCACTAGTCACGCGATATGAATGCAACATGAATTACACGAGAAAAGAACATACAAAAGACTTTCACCTGTAAATGGCTTTTAACTTCATCATTAGTGAGCCCATCCACTTTCATAAGCTCCTTTATTTGTTTAGGAGTAGCCACTGCAAACCAAACAAGTAACACATGAATAACATATAATACTCTATCAAACACTAATTACGCATCATAAATTAAAATTATTTATTTTTCATGAAAAATTTTGTATCATAACAATCAACTTTCATAAATGTCATTCGAAGATAGTTAACAAGCACTACTACTATAATACTATTACAAGGATTGCAACAAACGTTATCAACCTCTTTTTTCACCCGTATTACCAAATTAAAATTACACTACATATTTGTATTTAACTTTAATACTATAAAAAAGCATGCCTAACAACTTCTAACAAAAATGATCACCATAAAAACAATACAGAGTACCAAATTCGTCAATTATGAAGTATTATTCTTATAGTACTAGTACTTTAAATTGTTCACCTATCATTAGAATTAACGCTTTAATGTTGTTGTCGTTGTTATATACTTTGAATCACCAAATTAATTTTTCAAAATTCAATTAGTAACACGTAACCTCACCTTGGGCCCCACCAAGGCTTTCAAGGGCATCTACAAATCGCCGATGAAGCTCCGGCGACCAACACCGACGTCGTTTTCTAGTCGTCTGATACGACGGTTTGATTGCTGGTTTAGCAAAAACTGATCCGGAAAATATTCCGCCGGTTCGAAGTTTGGCTGAACCGGGTTCAACCACTTCAGTAGGAGTGTTCAGACCGGGAGGTACCAACGAGAGTCCCGTGACATCTTCCCTAACTTTTTTTTCAAAAGACAAAATTGCCTCTTTCCCCTCATTTTTATGCGGCTCATAGTCGCCGCCTCCTTCTGTTGCCTGTAATGTTTAAACCTTATTATTACCATTTTGTCCTCAACAACTCCAAATTATAAGAAAATTAAAATCAAAAAAATTACCGAACTCCATAGCTGAGCAGTGCTCATCCATGTCTTCTTCTCAAATTGTTTTTCCTCACTTTTCTTCGCAACCTCTTTCAATTTGCTAATTGCTGTAATTAACCCATAATTAAACAATTATTAAAAATGAACGATAGGTTCAAATTATTCGGACGACAAAAAAAAAATAACAATTATAATAAATAAAAAAATGAAGAAATAAATAAAGAAAACGAACCATCGTTTAGGATAACGGAAGAGAGGGGAAGTTCACGGTGAAATGCCTGAATCTTCTTAAGCTCATCTTCGAGGCAGACAATAAAACCATTAAGCTTGGAAAGTTCACCCAAATCCGATATACCGGCGACTAAAAATCGGGTTAAAACGTCGGAAGAATTTGGCAGGCTCAATTCTAAACTCAATTGTGGAAAATTTGATGCCATTATTTTTGTCTGTTAAATTGATTAGCTTTTAATTTGAAGATTGATTTATGAAGAGTGAGAAAATAGGTTCACACTTACAGTTGGAAGATAAGCATGACAGAAAATGAGAGGAGAAAAATACAAAAAACAGCTTATTTATAGGGATATATACAGAATAATATTGGGAGGAAAACGAAAACGGTTCCTCGCGTAAAATAGAATCTTGAAATTTAATTTATTTTTTATTTTAAAATCCTTTTTGTTTGTCTTTTCACTTTTAAAAATCAAGGGTGTAAAATTAAAGAATTGATATAGGGAATCAGAAGTGATTTTATTTTTTTCAAAATAAAAATTATAAGGGCGTGTGTTTTATGGATAAGCATATAGTTGGAGTAGTACGTCCGTAATTCACATGCTTATCCTACCAAATTTATTATTTTTCCATTTGTCAATAATTATGTATTGATTTTTATTGCGTAGAACTTTCTTATGGTACCTAATAAGTCCAAAACTAATACTGTGCTACGTGTATTGCCATTATCAAATTACTCTTCGTTTTTTATAAATTGTAAGTACAAGTATTACCATCCTGCATGTAGTACTCGTATAATTAATGGCATGTATTTTAGTAAGAGAAGAAAAAAGGTGTTGTTGGAAAGAATTAATCTATAAAAATAACTAAAACAGACACTAACGTATCAGTTTTTAGTATAATTTTTTCCTTCAAAACTTCCATTGTGTTATCAGAATTTTTTTAATATTATTATACTATAACATATTCCAAATTAAATCGATTACCTATAAACATCATTTAATTTAAAAATTATTTCAAATACCTATAAACAAATTTTATTTACCCTATACATCCTAGTTTTAGGTATAGAAAATTAAGGACACACACGGAGTATTGGATATGACTATAAAATAATGTTATGTTCCATAACTATCACAAGTTTAATTCTAAGGAAATGTAAAATTTTAATCAAAATTTTGGAAAATATGTAATATCAAATACACATAAAAACAAATATTGTTTTTTGCTGTGACATTTAACTGAGATAAACTAAAATATTTATATACTAAAAGACACACCTAATGTGGTAACAAGTGGCATTTCCTAATGCATTTTATCATTTTATTTTTATCTTCATTCATTGTATCACAAATTTGAGCTAAAAATAATCATAATTATCCAACTGATGAATAAGCCTTACCACAAAAATTAATCTATTAGTCGAAGTTTGAATTGTCTTCAATTATATCAATTGTTTTTCAATCTTCATTCTTACCAAAATTAGTTTAAAACATCTTAAAATGCACAACCAACCCAAACAAGTAATATACCCTATACCACCTTTAGGGTAAATTAACTTTCAAGTTGCACAACATTTTAGTCATTATCAACTAATTTGAGTGCATTTTTTCTCTCATACGTAACGTTATCATGATCTCTTATCCATCAAATATTGTTTAGTAGGGTGGCATCGACGTAAAGAAGATGTTTTAAATATTTAAAAGGATCATCTTATATTAAAAATAAATGGTACATACGTACTGTATTGGAAAAGAGAGTTATGGCCGAATTTCAACAATGTTGATTCATGCAAATTTGCATATTTTAAATTCATATTACTCTAAATTTGGATCTACCCTGCACTCTAAAAATAAAAATACAGAAAATTCATCTTGTTGTGTCGCTATTCTCTAATATGTATGAACTTTGATTTATTTCTCCTTTCCCGCTCTATATCATTTTTCTTATCAACTTCGTTTATTGATTTTTTTTTGGAAACATGGATCCAAACTAAAAAAAATAATTACAGTACTCGTAATACACAATGCATTACTCGTATAAAATAAAAATACGAGAGTACTTAGTAAAAGAATTGAGATCATATTTCCATTTTCTCACTGTTAGTTTAAACAAAATTAAATTTTTTTCTTTAAAAAAAAAGAAAAAAAAAAAAAAGAAAAACCAAAGTACTATCGTCAACAAATTTGATAAATACTGCCAAAAATACATGCTAAATTAGGTGTAAGAACTCATTTTAAGAGCTAAGTACTGTTGAGTTTTATGCAAGACAGCGAGAGGAATAGTACTTGCACCATTTGGTACTTTTACAAGCTCATCATAACAAAGGCTGACCTATGAGTAAGTCCGTATTCCCTTTGAAAAAATTTAATTGTACCATTTTCTACATACGTCTGTTCTAATTTAATTATTACATTAATCATTAAGAGTTTATGACATGAATACATTAATATTTTAGTACGGAGTACCACTTTTTTCTAACAACAAAAAATTAGGGGTTAATACTCATTGACTCATTCTCATTTGATTAAAAATTCCTCCACTATCTCTCATTATATGTACTTTTCGATTAAAATATAACTAAGACAACACATAACTTATCACCTAAAACTCTTTACAATCTTGCATGTGACACTCAAATTAAAACGAAGGGAGTACTTATTATACTATGTAGATAGTACTTACAAATCGGATTTTGTATCATCATTCACCTAGATATCCGTTGTAAATGAATGAAATAAAACATCAGATTGAATGGTCTTAAATCATTGATATTTATAATTCAACACACAAGCTTACATGAAAAAATATATATACCATGTATGACAATCACAAAGTTTTAGGTATTATCAAACCAATTATTCATAGAAATAGACAAAAAATTTAGACAACGAATGAGGAATCATGGCACTATGTGGGAGTTTTTTGGAATCCATGTTTAATTTATTCGGAAATGTAGACCTTTGGTTGCAAAGCGTCAAAGCGAATTTGATCATATCCGTTGGTGGTGTGATTAAATACCCCCACTTTACTATCCATACTTTGGTTTTATTCCAATTGAAACACAGTTGCGAGTATATATAAAAGATTTTTCCCCAAATCATCCCGAGCATCCAAGACTCCTAAGTACTCCCTCTATTTCACGAAGATGGTTATACACTTTATACCTTTTCAATTGTTAATAATGCTCAAAAGGAATCCTCAGTCCTCATGTGAGACTTCACCAGATTCTAGCATTGCAAGGCCCAGTGGACCTCCGTATTTAAATTCACCCACTAAGATAAAGCCCACCACCTAACCTTTGGATATTTGGAATACTGTAGCTATGCAACCTGCAACAATTTAAACATAAAAACAACCTACTTCCTCCGACCCCAAATAATTAAGTACGGAGAGCGTATTACATGTTTTGGACCGATGGAAGGAGTACAAACAATTAATTGAATTGTTTTTTTCTCCTCTCCTTCGCCAAGTCAACCCCCCTCTTCTTCCTAAATTACATGATGATACAAACTAAATTATAATCATCTAGAAACCGAAAACTTCTGTCAATAACAGCTTGAAAGATTGGCTTCGGCAAATGCAGATGGTCACAATTTCAAAAAATGTGCAGAGAGGAGTTTTGAGACCATGAATCCATTAAAGGAGTCGACATTAAAGAGCTCCTTCAGCTTCTCATCACATATTACCGTCTTCTTCGCAAATGGGTCCTTCAAGAAAAACCACAACATTCATGAAAATAGTTAGGAGTAGTAGGCTTGAATTATGGCAAGTCTAAGAAAAGGCTAGGTATCTTTGGATTTTGCGGCTTCAAATGTAGCACCTCTAGCAGTTGCAGCTCAATGATGCATAACACTGAGCCAATGTTATGGTTTCACCATTAATTGTGCTCAGTCATAGCATGATCCATCAACATAGATGATATGAAATTTTTAACAAGACAAAAAGAAAGATGGAGAAGATCACACATTAATGCAATTAAGAGATCAATGAAATATATACCTGGAGATTGTTTTCTTTTATGTATTGCCATACTCTCTTTATAACAACAGCACGAGTCAGCGCACTTTCTCCAGTACCCAGGAATTTTACAAGAGCTTCTGAGAGCGGAAGAGGGGCAAGAAAACCAGAATATACTTTCCTTGGAGGCTTTGCTTCAAATGGATCTGAATGGAGAACACAGCGTTAAGGATAAGATCAGAAACATGGATTATAGGTGATTCCGTATGAGTAAAACTTAAACTTCACCAATTCAATATTCAGATTCTGCAAACCCTCAAGCATCATGAGGGAACTGGAGAAAAAAAAAATCTATATGAACATACTAAGAGAAAAATATCATATTAACTCATAACAAAATGGCTTAATGATGGGTATCAATTGTATGCCAGCCAGATTTCTTACAATTTCTCACATTAGTAATTAACTTGAAATTTGAAAGCACACTGTTGTCCTCACCTTCTTCCCTCTCTTGCTTTCGTGGCTTCTCTCTCCTGATCGACTTCTCTGAAATTGCAAAATATAATGCATGTTAAATTGGTTTCGGTTATTCTGGAAAAAATTTGTAACACTTCAGCTTACGAAGCAATTTTAAGCCTATGAACAATGTCTCAACGATCTTTTTGCAGCACTAAAGCGCGTATGAAATAAGAAGCCCAATAACGGGTATTACTAACAATCACCATCACTGAATATAGAAGAACAAAAGAACTGCATATGCTGTGTCAGGACAATAAACTAAGGCATTCAGGCATTGTGGCAACATATCAACAAAGTGATCAGGGATAACTAGGCTTCAAGTCTTCAACATCAGAGATCTCCAGGAAGAGGGCAAGTATCATTAACAGATTGGCAATTACAAGATTTCCATACAAATTTCATTTCAGTCAGTAGAGGCAGAGATACGCAAGCCTTGCTTTTCTCATCTAACAAAGTACTTTCAGACAAGGAATACCAAAATCATATTACAGCTAAGATAAGTGCAGATGAATTACGATAAGTATAGATAAGATCAGATTAGAGAAATTGAGGAGATTAAACGAAGCTGTAATGAACCCAAAGATGGAAATCTGACAAGATGACAAGATTGAAAAAAAAAAATCCTGATGTGGGGGAAAATGGAATGACCCAAACAATATTTTCTTGCACACAGCCCCAGGCAATTGAGGATAAGACTGTCAGAGACTCAGAGTGCAAACCTATTGATAATCAATCAGGGACTTAACTACAGAATTCCTCTAGGAAGTAGGAGCCAATTGATCAAGGAAAGCTGCAATGCCCTATGCATCTAGTTGAATTTATATGTTGCACCAAATTAAGCCTGAACACACTACAAAAGGAAACAGAAGTATCAATATGTACCTGATGGCCAAATGTGTTTTGTTAAGGCACTATGAATCTGGAGAATGTTGATAGAATCAACACCAAAAAGTTCACGTAATGTTTCATCACAAATGATATTCTTTCCATCCTGAGGATCTTGCAGCCTTTTATCTCTAACATAGCTCCACAATCGTCTGACAACCTGCAATCAGCAAACATTTCCCTGATTACATCCCAGGAAGTGTATTGTACAGCATGGGAAAAATCGATGATGACATAGAGAATGTTCAACATATACCTCTGTCCTTATCAAATGAGGTACTCCAAGGAATTTCTGGAGTGCAGGAGACAGCGTGCAGAACTTGCCAGACTCGCACACTCTTTTATTTTTCACTTTATTTTGTCGGCGAGACCTGGAAATAAATATAGATTATTAATATCTTCAAAATTTGTATTATGAAACCTTTACACAGGTCATTTTGAGAAAATCACTCAAGTAAATAAAAACTGAGTGGGGAAATACCTTTATGTCAACCTTGTACAGCACTAACAATCTAAATCACTGATATCCCAGTTAAAAGAAACCGAAATGAATTTTCCCAATATGCCTTCATGTGAAAGTTGCATGACTATTAGTAAATTCCGCCATATATCTCTGTGTTTTTGTTTCTATCCCCTATATTAAAGTTGCATGACTATTAGTAAATTCCGCCTTATATCTCTCTGTTTTTGTTTCTATCCCCTATATTTTTTGCCTCCCTCCAAAAAATTGCATAATTTTGAGCTTCATCCAAGGGCAAGTCCACAAATATCCCTCATTGCATGTTCATCCTATGCTTGCCTGATCCAACAACATCACAATCTCGTAGAAATGTGAAGGACAAGTCCACAACCATAACTAATTGCACGAAATATGCTAGGCTTGCCATGTTCAATGACATTACAGTCTCATAGAGCAAGGAGTTGACATTCTTGACAAGAACAAACCATGACCATGTCAATGTCAGTGACCAAAACAGTGATGGACATGGACAAGGTCCTAAATAGAGTTTGGGACACTTAGGATCTTGGAACCCTAACTTAGTTGAGTTTTGAACCATAAAAGTTCCAAAATGTACAACTACTTTTACATAAGGGTCTGGCTTGGACAAGAAACCCATTATGAACGCTGTGCGTTGATGTCAATGTTTGTTCTGGCAAAAGGAAAAAATAAAATAACTCTCTTAACCTCCTACTTGGTGATTTTGAAGTATCAACTGATGAAATCAGGATAATGAAGTTAAAATGGATTAAATGCAGTAGATTGATACACATTTAGTTTCAAAAGAACATCAGTATGTTCTTTAAGTTTATATTGTATGGTATTTTAGAATATGTTTTCATTGTGACCTATGCTCTTTTATGAAGGTATACTAGATATGATCTTTGGATTTGAAGAATGTATCATTCTATTTTTATTTGAAATGAATGTTCTTTTACTTCGATCTGTAAGATAATATATACGTACGACTTTACTATAATATATTCTTCATCCATGGTTTATCAAGTAGTTTTTTTTCTAAAATTTCTCTTCTTTTTATTTAATTTTTTTTTTAGATTTCATCCCCAATTAAGATACAATTCGTTCTTGTCAAAAACAATTTTAAAAAAAAGATACAATTTGTTGATCTATGACGATAGTATGAGGCTGTCTTTGGTTCTTGATAAATTTGTGTTAACTCATGTTAAGCGTGCAGGATGAGATAATTGTTACGAATTAATTTGTATCAACTCTTTCCCCCAAAGGATTACTACCTTGGCGGAACTTGATGTGCATTAATAAATCTTTCTTAACATTTCCCTAAAAAAAATACAATTTGTTGAAAATTAAGGTCTAATTTACTATGTGTATACAATTTTTTAATTTCCTATAAATACCTTTCAATTATTTTCTCGTTAATACATTTAATTTCCATAAAAACCAACAAATATATCTTCTTTTTAACAATAAGTTAATAACCAATCCTTCACAATAAAAAAAAAAAAAGTCAGTTGTTGTGTTTTTTTTTTTTTTTTTTGGCCATTTTACATCCTCAAAGTCTCAACGTTTATCCTCGACAAGTGGCCCGACATTCAATCACCTACTTAACAAACATTTTTATGCAATAAGCTAATACAATCCCTTAGTCAAATCGGTTAATACAACTCACTAGTCAAAATCAGCTAAACATGACCTTACCCAAATAAGCCATTTGTTTAACAAAATTACATACCATCCAATCATAAATTCATAATGTAGTACTCATACAACGGAGCACTCACATTGCCACAGCATTCTCGAGCCTCTAGACTTCTCGAGGATTCTATGTGTACTCTTAAATTCTACTATTGTACATGAACTCTTAATCTTTACTCAATATTTTAAGTAGCCAATTTTCAATGAATTACTAGTGTACATTGATGGATCCCATGTCTTTAATTGGCCATAAGATTAATCCCCATTACTAGCAAAACCATTAAAGCAGAAATTCAACTATCCTAAATCAATTTGTATTTTTTTAACCCTTCGTTACTGTATAAAATAAACCATGCATGTACTGTACAAAAAGTAACTAATACACCCATTTCAATCATACAAATTAAATTAAATTAACATAAAAATAATCAAACCCCGGAAACATAATCTAAATATTTCAAAAGAAATTACCGTTTGAATTTGCTAATACCCTTGAAAGTATCTGCTGCTGCTGCTCCAATTCCTCCTACAGAAAATTCACCCTCATCTTCATCCTCGTAATACTCATCGTCTTCAGAATCTGAAACGTCGTCGTTTCCGTCATCACCCCTAACAACCGCAGCATCAAGATAATCATCTTGTTCTTCAGCAAATTTGTACTGGGTTTGAAGAAAGCGGTCAACTTGGATTCTGAGAAAAGGTTTTTTATGAGATAAATCAACCCCAAAATCAGACTCTAATTTTTTTCTAATGATATTATTAGTCGTCTTCTTCAAATCAGACCCACTTAAAAATTCATGCACTTTTTCTGCAAGCTGAGAATCTGAGACCATTTTCACCAATTTGTTTATAACTGGAATACTGTTATTTTTTTTCTGCATAATTTTACGGGGTTTGCTTTGAATTTAAGGTGGAAAAAAGGGTTACGGAGTAATAAGGGCCAGTGACAACTTGTGGGTTACTACATCCTCATTTTTGAAACAAGTCCTACTACATCCTTATTGTTTTGTGCTTTAAATGCATTTTATATGAGTGAATTGTTTTTCTTACAAAAAGAAATAAAATAAAATAAACACATACGAAGTATGAGTGAATGGTTTTATCTCAAAAAAAAATAATAATAAAATAAAATAAAAATAAAAAATGAATAGTTTAGAGTGCTCTTTATCTTGCAAAAAGATTGAAAAACAAAATTAGGTATAAAGGACACGATTCATTAACACGTTGTTATTAAGGTAATTAAGGTCGATATGTCACATACGGAGTAACAATAAAATCTGGTCATAGACTTTTATAGAATTTTTAAAATTGAAAATATCAATGCATTATCAAGATGTAAATTACTAAATCAAATAAAAAAAAAAGTTAAAATTAGATTAGAATAAATAAGTTAGGAATATAATTTCTTTAGTCATGTTTGTCAATGCACAACTTCAACAATTAATATCTTTAATTACCTAAAAACAAAAATTATAAAAAGTTGATATTTTGAAAATGTATATCGTGACAAATCTAACAACATTCCACATGACTATATTTTTCATCACGTATGAAGCATAAAACACGGTCAAAAGGGAGTAATTGAATAGTGTTAATGTCAAAATGTGTCAACTAAAAAAACGGAGGTAGTAAGTTTTTAATAGATTATCGTATACTCCTCATGTCCCTATTTTTTTGCCCCATTGTAAATAAATGGGTCAAACTTCATAAAATTTGACCATAAATTCCAATTAATCAATAAGAGATAATATAATCATGCGAAGTCTTGTTAGATTCGTCTCAATATATATTTTATTAATATCAAGTTTATTTTTATAATTTTTACGTGTTTGAAAATAGAGTTGTGTTTTTAATACGCGTCTTGGAAATTGTGAAAAATCAAATGAGGCAAAATAAATAAATAAATAAATAGGGACATAGTGAGTATATAAAATCATAGTTTAAGGCTTGTTTGATTACACAAAGAAAATGGGGAAAGTGGAAAATCATGGGAATTGGAAATTGGATGAGTTGTTTGGTTGACAATAAAAAGTGTAAATGTGGGAATTGTAAATTCATGGGAATTGTGACTACCCACAAAACATGGGAAGTTAATTGCCTAACCCCCCTAAGTAAGTCAAATCTCCCATGATTTGCAACTTCCTTCATCCCAACCAAACAAGTTTAGACAATTCCTAGGAATTGGATGTAGGTATTTACTTCCCATGAAATACAAATTCCCATGGGAAGTAAATTCTCATATTAAACAAACAACACCTTAGTCACATTAGAAAAATAATTTTAGATCAAATCAAATAAACAAAAATAAGGCCAACTAAATCGGGCCTACATTTATAACTCGTAATTGTTGCAGATGCGTGTAATTTCAACATGTAATTCGTTATAATTTATTTTTTTCTTAAAAAAAAACAATATACACTTACAAATCAAAGCAGGAACAAATAATACATGTGTAATATTATTTTTTATGAGGGTTATTCATTCTATCTTTTTTAATACATTCTTTAATCTTATTGGTTTTCAATTAGGGTTTAATGTATAACCAACATTTCCATACACCTATTTTTATTTATTTAGTATTGTAGCTTTAACCTTTGATATATATTAATAAAGCTTAAAATTGACAAGTGGCGAAAGTTAAAAGTAATGTGTATTTAAAGTGAAGATATTTCGTAAATGAGAATATTACGAATAACCATTTCAATTGAAAAACAACTCTTCTTGTGGCTATTTCGAAATGTGAAAAAGAACTAAAATCGTGATATGATAAAAACAATTTGAAATGTTTGTTCATAAAATTGTTTCTCACCTCAAATATAATTTGAATGATTTTTTCTCTTCTTCTAACTTGTAATTTCTTGTAGTATAATTGCACTTTTAACTTTCATCTCAACTCTCAATTTTGTAAGAAAATACAATAAAGGTTAGAGTGAAGATATCTAGCAACAACACGAAATAAAACATGACAAAATAACGAATAAGCTTAGATCTTAACAAATATTGGTTGTAGTAGACTAACAGCAAAGTTGATTAATTTATCAACAAGATATTTATAAGTGGTATACCCACATTTAAAAAGAGAAAAAAAAAAAAAAGTGGTATACCCATACCAAAGCATCTCAAAGCACAAATAATTGGGCCTTAATAAGAACATTTTGGGTAACCGACTTTACCGCCCACCTGCAGATTCTCCACACTTCCACATGGGCTACCCGCATTTTTACCCAATCACTTTCCAACACCCGTCTTTTTATTTTTTTTTACTATTTTTAATTCCCAAAATATCTTTTGCATCACTTAACCAAACAAATTTTACGCGGTTAATTATTATTATTGATTAATTAAAAAATATCATCAATAAACCAAATTAATTTGTCCCCAGTAAGGCAACCGGATCATAAACGACGCCGTTTTGCCTCTTTGTCCTTCCCCTTTTTACCTTCAACAAAAATCCTCTCTTTCTTAGCTGCTCATACATCAGTCTCTCTCTTCACCTATCTTTCTCTTTCTCTCTCTACTTTCTCACTTATTTGAATAAGCTTTGACCGATTAATCAGAAATTAATCGCCGATCTAGGGTTTTTTTATTTTATAAATCATCAATTCAATTATACGACACCGTTTTGTTTGATTGCTGTAAATGTCATCGGAAGATCTGAAGTTGTTAGATTGTTGAAGAAGAAGAATTTGCGACCGTCGATTGAAGAAGTGGTGTCGGAAAATTTAAATTAAAGAATGGACGCCGGAAGTCGAGCTCAAGCGTCGGTAAATCCTGCCATGGATATGCCGATTATGCACGATAGTGACCGTTATGATTTTGTTCGAGATATTGGTTCTGGAAACTTCGGTGTTGCTCGTTTGATGAGAGATAAAGTTACTCGAGAGCTTGTTGCTGTCAAGTATATCGAACGAGGCGATAAGGTTCATCTTCTTCTTCTTTCGTTTCTTTTTTTTTTTTAAGGATTTTTTTATTATTTTTTTTTTGATTTTTTTTTGGAGGAGTTTTGAATTCCTATCCGTTATGGTGGGTATTGATTGCAAACTGTTTGTTTTTTTGTGGGGTTTTATTTCTTGTATTGGGAATTTTTTGTTGGAGTTGTTTAGGAAAAAAAGATAACTTTTTTCTTGGGATTTCACGTGAATGGTGTTTTTTATCTTTCGTTTTTTGGGATAAATTTGACTGGAATCTTTGATTCTTTCACGCAGATATTCTACTTTCGTGATAATCAATGCTCTCTTTATTTAATTAATTTAATTTAAAGAAAAAAATCATATACTCCGTAGATGAAGTTTTAATGCAGTGATTTGTTTGGTTAATGGTTATTAGACTAAAAGATTGATTGGGAGTAATGACGGCGTTGGGATGCTATTAGTGGTAGTGATGCTATCTGTAGAAGTGTGGCTATTTTAAGTAAAAAAGGTTTTTTTCCCCAGATATGCATTTAAAAGACCAGTCTTGGGGTTATTTTTGGGATTTTATAGATGTTTGTAAGGGTGTTTTTGGAATGCCCTGCAAAAATAGGGAGACTTTTATTATTAATGGAGGTCATATACATTTATGCATGGTGAGGTTTGGAAAGTGAGACATTTATTATAGCATAACGGTCGTAGCAAATTTGGAATTTGAGTGTTTGTTTGAGTTTTGAACCTGATATGAAGAGTTTTGAGGTGTTTCATATTTGTGTGCTGGTTGCTGAATGCTGTTGGTGAAGAACTGAAGATTGTCTTAAGAGCATGTTTATCTAATTTACAGTAGGTTCTGGTTGAGTCGTTGATGGTGTACGATATGTGACTATTGGAGAATTCGGCTTGATGAGGGTGTTCATTACTAAAATGTTAGTTAAACATAGAAGTTATTTTATTTAGAGAGGTAAAAATAGTCAAAATATGTAGTTGTATCCTTTAAGGCAAACATTGGATTGTCGAGGTCTTGAAGACAAAAGCTTCTTGGATAATTAACTTTCTTTTCTCGATTGGTGTTTCAAATGGTAAACCTTGGATGTTTTGCTTCAAATCTTAACTAACTAATAGTTAAACTTATAACATGTCTGAGACTAAGGTATAATCTTTGGCTTTTTTTGTTGTTAACATTCTCTCATGATTCATGAATCCTTGACTGGGCCTATGGTGTAGGGATTTGCTACTTAGAGAGTATCAAGTCGTGTTTCTAAGATTGGGACAATAGGAAATCACGCCTTAATATAGAGGGTTTTCATAAGTGGTATGCTGAAATATAAGAGTTTCTACTCATCTAGTTGTTTGGTTGCCTTGAGTTCAGGAGAAGGCACACATGCAAATAGATGTGACATAGGTTCAAAAGTTTGTCCTATGGACCTATTTTCTTTTATATTTTGAACTGTGTATTAACCATTGTCATCATCTATCAACATCAGTGCAGCAGCAATGCCTTTTGAAATGGCTTCCATCCAGGATGGAGTTGGATTTAAGCAGCCTTAACCTAATCATGAATGTCATGATTCATATCATGACTGAAAGAGGCTCGCACTAAACTCTTGATTCAAAGCAAATGACCAGTTTAACGAGCAAGTTTGAATAATATAATTCCGAGTGAATCTTTCAGTTCCATTGGAATTGGATTTGGGTTAACCACTGTCATGGTTTCATGATAATTATGAAGGAGATACCAAAAACTATTTGAAGTTAGGAAAATAAATATAGCTAAGAGGTAAATGGTTTGATTTATTTCTTTGATATTATGGTTTACCAATGTTCTGAGTATCTGTATGTTAGTGATAGAGTTCCCTTTATTAGGAAATCGTTGTTACTATGCTAGTATGATTTGAACTAGCAGTGTGACAACTGACAAATAACCTTGAATTTGAAACTGTTTGATAGTCAGTTCTGTAATTGACATGGGTTTTGAGACGGCTATCTCTTTTCGCTATGTTTTATTGCAGATAGATGAGAATGTTCAAAGAGAGATCATCAATCACCGGTCATTGAGGCACCCAAATATTGTTAGATTTAAAGAGGTTGGTTCGGAACCTTTTTTCTCTTACTTAAACATTTGCAGTTATAGATGCTTAGTGTTTTTCACTCTTTCTGAATAGGTCATTTTAACACCTACCCATCTGGCAATTGTGATGGAGTATGCATCTGGAGGAGAGCTCTTTGAGCGAATATGTAATGCAGGCCGATTTAGTGAGGATGAGGTTCTTGATTTCAACTGTTATTTCCTTATCGTAGGAATTTCTGTGTTTATTCAATTTCTACTGACACTTGCGTGACTGCAGGCTCGCTTCTTTTTCCAACAGCTTATTTCGGGAGTTAGCTATTGTCATGCAATGGTCTGTAGTGCAATCTTTATGTATCTGTCTTTCAGCATTTTATATTGATGCTACTGTTAATGAAATTAAAAAAATCTGTAGTCACAAATAGGATAATTTTATGGCTCTTTCTTACAAGTCTTATTTTATGATGAAGCAAGTGTGTCATCGAGACCTGAAGTTGGAAAATACTTTACTGGATGGAAGTCCAGCTCCTCGCTTGAAGATATGCGACTTTGGCTACTCGAAGGTACCACATTTGACTATGTTATTGGCCCTCTTCTTTCTTTCGTGTTCGGGTGCATAGAGATTTGTGTTTTCATAATTGAATACATGTTCTGTTTCATAAACAAGCATTTATTTGCTTCACTTGTGTTATGGAGGATTCCTTCTTTTTATGTCTTAGTTTGATGCTGTAATGCTGTATGTAGACACTTTTACTTCTTTGGATGAGACCTTTTAGGTTATCATGGATTGCTAATGATCTACCTTATGCTTCTTTCTCCCAGTCTTCTGTGTATCATTCACAGCCTAAATCCACGGTGGGGACACCTGCTTACATTGCTCCAGAAGTCTTACTGAGGAAAGAATATGATGGAAAGGTATCTTATTTTACTTTCCTGTTTGTATTTATGACATTATTTGAACCAGTTTTGCATTGGCATCTGTATTTTAGAGAGCTTTTAAAACAATCTATAAAATCCATATGGAGAAATTGTTAAATGAGCTGAGCCTATAGAAAGAACAGCTGCTGCCAACTGGTAATGCTAATGTTAAACAGGAATTGTTTGTTGCTTCATTACATTCCGCAATATGTCATTGCAATCCTCTTTAGCATAGAACATAAATAAATACAAGGAACACAACATGCACTTATAGTAACCTGCACCAAAACATATATGTTAGTACAAGCGTACAAGGGAGTTGCCTCTTATAGGATTTGCTATGTTCTAGAACCTAGAGCTGTCAGTCTGTGACACTTTGTTTACATATTATGGGGATACCTCAATTATTATGACTTATTTGAGTTCCCTTGTGTTTCCCTGTTTGTGGCTAATACTTGACTATCAAGTGAACTCTGCTCTGAATACATGCTGGAGAGGAATTGACAAAGTGGTGATGCTCAGCAGGATTTAGACCTGAAAGGCAAAGGATTCTCTGAAGAAGATTTTTTGACCTGTGATTATTTTAAAAGTCAGCTCAATTGCAAGTAGTTGATTATAGCCCACTCTAACTTTGTAAGCGAAGTGAAGTTAGTATCAACTATATACGAACCTACAATAATTTTTTCAGCTGTAGTGCTAGTGCACAGTGCCTTTTCACTTTCCGTAAAGCAACTGGCTGCACAACAGCAACAGCTGGGCCTAAATAAAAAGACTCCATGAAGTACAACTTTCATCTGTTGCATACCATCCATTCCAAGACAAATGAGTGTTTTAACAAAACTTTATTGCTTTTGGTTTCTCTTGGCTTCTACGAGCATTCCTTTACAGACTTCACCAATCAGCAATGATAAGTTTCATGACCATTAAACTTGATTAATGCACTATTTATCTGGGCATCATCAACTTATTGATAAAGTCATCATATAATTGTAGATGAGCAAACAATATGGTGGTGGATTTCCACTGGAGATAGCAGGTGCTGACAATTGGGCTGTAGGAGAGCAGGGGTCTTGAAAATTTGAGTTGGAATATGATCAAGGTTGAATCGCAGAGGAGAGGAGGGGTGGGGTGGGGGGTGGTGGTTCTGAAAGGGCAACACTTCCCTTTCTGGTTGTTTCAAATCGCAAAATGTTTATATTACTGGACATTTACCTAATTTCATGCCTATGTGCATCAGAGACTGTTTTCTGGTAGTTATCAGTAAAGTGAAGATAATATATGCAATAACTAATTGTGAACATGATAGGAAAAAGAGTCTTTTTTACATGTTTTCTGGGCTGGAGGAGAGCAGAGGTCTTAAATAGCCAGGTTGGGATCAAGGTTGAATTGCAAGGGGGAGAAGAAGAGAGGGGGGGTTCGATAAGGCAACACTTCCCCCTTTGTGGGTGTTTCAATTGGTCAAGTATCTCTGTAACTGCAATAAATAATTGAGAACATGATAGGAAAAGGATGATCTTTTTTACACTGTGAGGCAATTGGCCTAATTCTGTGGGCGTACAAAGCCCCCACCCCCCTCCCCCCCTTTTTTTTTTTGTTTTTTTGAGGTAATTGTAATAGTAATTGTACATCACAACAGAATTAAAGTCTTTGTTAGAACAGCTAGGGGTTAATAGAAATATGGAAAAGGTATTGCTGTCCAAACAGAAACCACCCTCTGATTTATGCTGTAAACCTCCTAGTATTTGAGTTTGAGTACTTGAGAAGGGATGATTGACATTTTACTATTTTCCCTGATAATATTGGTGGTATGTTGCATTATTGCACTCTTTCTAAGAGTATAGTTGCTCTGCATATGCATATCCTAGACTGCGATGTGTGTCTATGTCAAAGTGGTATGCTGTTTTTACTGACATGGAAGTATTCTGTGAATTGCAGATAGCAGATGTGTGGTCATGCGGAGTGACTTTGTATGTAATGTTGGTGGGTGCATATCCTTTCGAAGACCCTGAGGAACCAAAGGACTTTCGGAAGATGATTCAAGTGTGTAATTTGATTACTGGTATTATCCTCGGTGATTTGTTTTACATACTTTTCATTAATTATGTATGTTTCTGTGTTACCTTTTTCTGCAGAGAATATTGAGTGTGCAGTATGCAATTCCTGACAGCATAAACATATCACCAGAATGTCGCCACCTTATCTCCAGGATCTTTGTTCAAGAACCTGAGTCGGTAAGTATTCATTCTTGACATTGGTAGCTTTTTTCTTGTTATTGTCAGGGGATGGGGGTGAGAATGATTGTTGCTTTTGTGAGGGATGGCATATGTTCCTTCTTTTGCATGTTGGGAAAAGAGAGTCTCCTGTTTAGCTGGTTTACTATCATTGTTAGCTAGATTTGGCTTATACTTGTAAGTGTGCATTCCAGAGGATATCAATTCCTGAGATTAAGAGGCATGAGTGGTTTATCAAAAACTTTCCCACTGACTTAATGGACGAGAATACAATGAGCAACCAATTTCAAGAGCTGGAGCAACCCATGCAAAGCATTGATGCTATCATGCAAATCATTTCGGAGGCAACCATCCCTGCTGCTGGGTCATCAGCACTCAATTTTCTCTCAGATACTCTCGATATGGATGAAGATATTGACGACTTGTCAGATTCTGAGATTGATATTGATAGTAGCGGAGAGATAGTTTACGCAATGTGATCATCCAAATGTTTTGCTTCCTGTTTAATGGAGGTTCCAACATTATCCCCATTGCTACTCTGGGCAATTTGGTTGCTCTTTAGTCATGATTGAAATGTTTCAGCTCCTTCTATCCTCTCTTCTTTCGTGCTCCAGTTGATACATGTAGTCATAGGGAAAGAAAAAGAAAAAGAAAAATATTAAAATGGGGAGGGTAGAGGCCTTGCAGGGTCAGGTATTGCTGGATGATTCTGCCCCCCACTTACAGTGGTAAGATCGAAGTTTCCCCTGGTCCTTTAGGATTGTAATATATGTATTTTATATTATTCATGTACTCTGTTGAAATTGTTGAAGCTTCATGTTTGTTATGCTATAATAATGGACATTGGCATGAATAGAGCTTAGAACAGATTTTCAGGGTAGTTTTTGTTCCTTGAAAAATCGAAGTCTGGAGTAGAGACTTATTGTCTGTCCACATTGTACAGTATATTCTGAAGTCCTGTGTGGTTTGGTATCCTGGGCAAGCTTAGGCATCAGAGATGTATTTTTCCTGTTTGTTTAGTCTTACCACATCTAATATAGTGAGATTATCACATACAGTATACTGCAGGTGGAGATATTGCCATGATAATCCAGATGAGATTTTGTTTATGATCTTGTGCAGTTGATTTGTATCAGAAGGTTTGTTGCAGTTGTTCAGGTGGTTGTTGGATATTGCAGGTTTTCACTCTTTTCAGTGTGGAGTATGCATTATTCCAATGATCATGGGTTCTACAGTTCTATTAGGTTTTGTCATTTCTGTGTAGATATAACTCGTGATTTAGGGGGTCACTGACTCACGGTCACTTAACTGATTGGATCAAATTCACATCATGCAAGCTCCAAAACTCCATTTAAGAAACTTGTCTCAAGTCTCAAGTCTCAACTCTCATGCAACAATGAATCAAAAAGTTCAACCGAAATTGATGTAATCTAGGATCCTATTGAAAATACACTGCTCTGTATTATCATGAATGGCGTAAATACTTGTATTTCTATAAATACGTTATTTATTGTAGATGCTGCAAACATAACCTCTATTATATGAGATTGGTAGGATGAACATGCGCTCAACTCTAACAAATTATATTTTTAATTAATAATACGATTTATTAATCTTAATAGTGTGTTATTTTCCTATATTTTTGTCAACGCCAACAATTGGAAATTTACAAAATTAAAAAAAAAATTGGAAAACTACTTTTTTTTTTAAAAGAGGGTAGCTTTTGCCTTTTGGGCTAATAACATGATCCGTTTTGTAAATGGGCGGTTTATGATTTGACTCATCTTTGTCGTTGAGTTCTGCACTCAAAACTGTGAAACAATGGCAGCAACAACAACTCTTCGTTTCTCTCTCCTCAGTATCAATCTTCAAAGGAGACTCTTATCATCTTCTTCAATCAACACTAATAAACACACTCAAAACAAATTTTTGCAGAAAAAGTTCAATCACCCAGTTCATAATGAGGAAATTATAAACCAATTATGCAGAAATGGAAGATTCAAGGAAGCCATTGATATATTATGCGAGAAAAAGCTTCTTAAAGAAGCTATTCAATTGCTGGGTCACATTCATCGTCCTTCTGCTTCTATTTACTCTTCTCTGTTACTTTCTTGTCTTCAACAAAGAGCCCTTCAAGAGGGAAGAAGGGTTCATGGTCATATCAAAGCTTCGGATTTTATTCCTGGAATTTTTATATCGAATCGTTTGATGGATATGTATGTAAAATGTGGGAGTTTTAGGGATGCCCAGAAGGTGTTTGATGAAATGTCTGAGAGAGACTTGTGTTCTTGGAATACTATGATTAAAGGGTATGCCAAAATAGGGAAGGTAGAAAACGCACGTAAGTTGTTCGATGAAATGCCGAACAGAGATGGGTTTTCTTGGACTGCTATGATATCGTGTTATGTTCAACATGGGAGGCCAAAGGAGGCATTGAATTTGTATAGGGAAATGCAGAGTTTTGGGAATTTGGATTCTAACAAGTTTACAATGTCAAGTGTGATAGCTGCTTCTGCTGCTTTACCGAGTTTACTATCTGGGAAAGAGATTCATGGGCGTATATTGAGATTGGGTTTGGAATCTGATTCCGCGGTTTGGAGTGCACTGTCTGATATGTATGCTAAATGTGGCTGTGTTGAAGGAGCTAGGCGTATATTTGATAAAACTGTGGACCGAGATGTTGTTTCTTGGACAGCAATGATAGATGGATATTTTGAGGATGGGAAGTGGAAAGACGGGTTCACATTGTTGGCAGATATGTTGAGGTCTCGAATCAGACCAAATGAGTTTACATTTGCAGGGGTTTTAAATGCGTGTGCAGATCAAGCTTTGGAGAATGTAGGGAAGCAGGTCCATGGGAATATGATCAGGATTGGTGTTAATCCAGATTCATTTGCTGCAAGTGCACTTGTTCATATGTATTCCAAGTGTGGGAATGTCAGGAGTGCAAGAAAGGCTTTTGAAGGACTGTCTACACCTGATTTAGTATCATGGACTTCACTTATTGTTGGATTTGCACAGAATGGTCATACAGAGGAATCTTTGGAGCTCTTTGAGTTGATGCTCAGATCAGATACTCAGCCTGATCATGTCACTTTTGTTGGAGTTCTTTCTGCCTGTACTCATGCAGGATTAGTCGAGAAGGGGATTGAATATTTCCACTCAATCAAGGATCGCCATGGACTAACACCAATTGTAGAACACTATTCTTGCCTCATTGATCTACTGAGCCGAGCTGGCCGTTTCAAGGAAGCTGAAGAATACATTAATAAAATGCCTATGAAGCCTGACAAATTTTTGTGGGCTTCTCTTCTTGGTGGCTGTAGAATTCATAAAAATGTGGAACTAGCAGAACAAGCAGCAAAAGCGTTGTTTGAGATGGAACCTGAAAATGCTGCAACATATGCAACTTTGGCCAACATATATGCCACTGCAGGTCGATGGGAGGAAGTGGAAAAAGTCAGAAAAATGATGGATAATAGAGGGGTGGTCAAGAAGCCAGGCTTGAGTTGGGTTGAGGTCCAGAGACAGGTCCACAGGTTTCTTGTGGGTGATATTTCTCATCCCAATTACAATCAAATCCATGCATTCTTGACAGAGATCTCAAAAAAGATGAAGCAAGAAGGCTATGTGCCAGACACTGACTTTGTACTGCATGATGTAGAAGAAGAACAAAAGGAGCAGAATTTGTCCTACCACAGTGAGAAGCTTGCAGTTGCTTTCGGAATCATCTCTACTCCACCTGGGACACCAATCAAGGTGTATAAGAATTTAAGAACCTGTGTAGACTGTCATACTGCAATCAAATTTATTTCTAGGATTACCAAAAGAAAAATCATTGTGAGGGATTCAAACAGGTTCCACTTTTTTGAGGACGGAAGCTGCTCTTGTAGTGACTATTGGTGAAGTATATGTTAAGTGAATACTTGGATTTTGCTCATCCCAGGCCAAGTCCTGATTCATTAGTCTGGGTTATCTACGCTTCAGTTGAGGTTTAAGAATTGTCAGCTGCAAATTCTTCCTGTAGTGTGCCTCTTGTCAGAGAATGATAGCTACCCTTGGTGTATCTTACCAGTGCCAATCACTAGAAATGGACAAAAAAAATCTGGTCTTTTAATGACCTTATTATATACAATATGATCTGTGCAAAAATGTCATCTATACCATCCTGGAGCAGATGCATTCTGGAATCCTCATGATCATCAGTAGTGTATTATCAGCTCTCAGGTACATAGTATTTGAATTTTGGGAAAAAAAAAAAAGAAACAAAAGAAGATTCTTTGTCTTATATTAGTTTTACCAGTTATGCCAACAATATCTAAATAACTTTAATCCACATTTAACTTAATCTATACGAATTCTTTGTCCTAATTTGTTTGGGGCTATTGCTTTTGAATGCAATAAGAGCATGGTACCACTGATCTTCTGCTTTTTGTAGTGTGTTTCCTGTGGCTGAAGGAAATTGCTATAAACATTTGTTTGGATCGTACTGGTTGATCTACTTTCAGAAAGGCTTAGCAAAATGCTATTTCAAGACATAACTGTATCTAATTTCAATAACGTTCCCCCAATGACTATACGTTTATATATACTGCCTAGTATGTATCTGCCTTTGGAAATTAAGCCGAATTGAATATTATGCTTGCTGATTAATGCTATATAGATTCCTGGTCAATGGTTATCGACGATCATTCTTTGTATGAGACCCCCTTTCTCTGTCGACCTTCCCAAGTTCTCTTTACTCTGAATGTTGTATTGAATTTTCCTTAAAACACTTTTGTTTCAATTGTGTTGGAGTATCAGAGATCTTGACGTTGCTAAGCTCACGATTTGTTATTACCTATTAGCCTCCTGCTGTCTAAAAGCTATTCCAGAGACTTGTTTGTTATATGCAGTATGATGTCCCTGGTCTACAGAATTCCGGTTTTTCTCAGTACCCATTTATCTCTCTTCATTGACTAATTTACAATCATGTGATGTATTTAAAAAAATGTACCATTTGCAACTAAAATAAACAGATCTGATCTTTAAATATATTGAAGCAAGAGAATATGAAGTTGAGCATATCATCTGCACATGTTGAGTCCATGAGCAATTGAATTTTCTCAAGTGGGTTTGCAAATTGGCGCCTAATTGGCTAATTCTGTTGAGGCTGCCCACTACCAGTGTTTTTTCTTATAGATCATTGACATTTTCTATGTGTTTTGTCTGAATATGCAAATATATAAGAATCTTTTCCTCTGTTTGCACCATCATATGCCTTACTTAACTGCTTCTGAATTATTTTCCAATTAGTTCTGGTTGTGTTCGTTCTATGTAATTTGGTTGGTTGCCTCCTACACACATACCCCTCTAAGTCTCTCACTCATTTGCTTTCTTTTGCTGTTTTATGTATATGCTTTTGAAATCGTCATGCTTTTGTTTTAACTTTTAAGGATATAGAATTATGGATTTTTTGTGTATTGCAACATTTTATAACTAATGTCTCCAAATCCAGGCCAACTCTCCCCACAAATATTTCTTTTCCTTCTTTCTTCATCTCAGAAGCAAAGTTTTTTTTTTTTTTTTTTAATTTATTGTATTATATTATATTTATTTTTTGTTAAGCTTTTTATTTGGGAAACAAGATTTTTCTAACTGTTTTTTTTAGCATACTGGTTTAAGACACTGTATTTCAATGTAAAATTGAAATAAGAAAGTAAAATGTATGCAAGGCATAGCTATAATTGTTTACCATAACATTTATGAAATTGTGCTTATAGTTCACGTACGAAGATTGTTGAAAGTTTTGTAAACATACCCTATATGAGTATATAGTATACTAATTACATTATAATTTTTTTTAATATAACATTGGATGGAATTGTTTCATTATTAAAATAAAGTTTTTCCTTGGAATAAAGAGATTTGTGTCCCTTGGTGAATTGACACCCTTGCAAATTATTATCAGTAAATAGAGAATGTATTTATGATATATGGATGACCTTGAGTGTTTTGACAAACATTAAACACCAATTATCTAAAACTTTTATGTCTACCAAAATATGTTTCAAACATGAAGTTTTCATGAAGAAACAGGCTGTTTTTTTTTCCCTTCTTACATTATGTATAATTTTCTCACAATCTCTCCTCATTCTTATGCAGAGCGTGTATTAACTTTGGTACTTCCAGAAACTTGCACTGACAGTGTCTCAGTCAGTCTGTCACAGAAGGAAATCGCAATGATAGAAGTTGCTGCGGCAGTTACCAAAGGCGGCGATATCTGCAGTACCCTTAATGCTATATATATTGACCCCGGGACAGATTGTGGTAGTAATGGTAAATGTTCTGTAATCAGTCCTACAGAAGGTTTTACTTGCATCTTGGATGCCATTGATGGTATCCGTCAAGGGAAGGTTGTTTCTTTGTTTTTTTAGTCTTTCTCTCTCTCTTTTTATTATTTATGCTAATTTGGGAGGTTTGAGAGGTGTAGAGGGTTATCTGCAATTCACCTTGTATTATTTTCACTTTCTACCTTTCTCAATTGTTTATCTTATGAGTGTGCTTATGCAATGCTTTCTGTAGCCATCGTATCCCATATTAGCTCCAGTGTCTGCAGCAAATGTATTGTTAAAGGTGGAAAACTGAATTCGAAATAAAGTTCAAACTTTAACTGGAAATACAAAATGGGCAATATCCTCTACATGTTTATGGGAGTAAAATTAGTAATTAATATTAAATAGTCCCTCCTTGAATATTTATCTTTTTCTGTTTCAAGGTATAATTAGGGCAACTTAGACAATCATTCTCTTCATCTCATCTGTTCTTTGCAGATGGTGATCATTTTAGGTAAAGAAAAGAGAGAAAATAAAGGGTTTCTAATGGTGGCAGCTTCACATATATCACCTGAAGTTACAGACTATTTTATGAGGCGAGGATCTGGGATAATCTATGTGACAACAAAAGAGGGAGACTTAGAGAGACAGCAGGACCCCTGTATGGTAATAACTAAGAACTAAGTAAATATACATAACGATATGTGATATTATTGATTTATTTATTTTTCTATGCATACAAATCTATAGACTAGAAGAAATTGATTCAATTCCATTGAACAGGATATCTGACAAATCTTCATTTTTCTGTACTCTATGTGAATGTATTATATGCAGTTTTGAGAATCTGATTCTAATTTTTGGTCTTGTTGTTTGCTTCTCTATTGAATGCTCCAACGCTTGTCAGTTTATAATGATTGAGATAAGTCTCAGGACAATGAGGACAGTAAGACTTGATATAAATGAGATAATCTGGCTTATGAACTATAATAAATATGTGTGCTTGAGGCTAATGATTCTGACCAATGTTAACTGTTAACATGCTGGCATGCTGCTATACATTAGTCATCCAATGACTGCATAAAGTTTCTCTAATGGTATCATCTATTACAAGGGTTTCATGACAATGTTTTATGATGTGCTCTACAGAATGTGGAACGGGCCACTACTGCTTGCATTAATGACTTGGCAACCACCTGGCTTTAGCATCAACGGAGTCCAAAATTGAGGACTTCTGCTGCTCAGGTCCTGTTTCCTTAGTCCTTACTAAAGTATAGAGAGGGAGGGGTTCTGGAAAGAGCTGGGCACGGAGAAGCTGCTGTAGATCTTGCTGTGCTTGCTGGGCTAGAACCAGTTGGGGTTTTGTGCGAGCTTTCTTGTGAAGATGACTCAACAGAGAGACTTACCAAGCTTCATGAATTTGCTAACAAGGAGAAACTGAAAATCATATCTATCACTGATCTCATATGGTAAGTCTCAATTTAATTAAAAATGATACACCCTAGTGACCCTCTAGCTCAAAAAACTCTTAGGATGACAATACATGTTTTTACTTGTCCTTAAAGGTTGTAAGTTTGTGCATACTAGATTCTACGGACTTATTATTTCAATCCTGTTAGATTTGACATATACCCATCCTTATTCCTGCTTATTGGGCGGGTCAGGTTAGGGGTCAGTGTGGGTCAAGGGCAGGTTTGGTCATTAGCGAGTTAAACTGGCTCAAACAAAGCGGGCCACAAGTCAATGGCAGGTCGATAATAGACATGCCAATAATATAGCCAAGAAATATGTAAAAGGAAAGAGACAAAAGTGAACACAAGTGAATACTAATCTATACTTCAAACTTAATTTATAACTACTCACTCCGTCCCCAAATAAAAGTCTCATTTTCACAAATTTATTTATATTATTCACTTGGAATCATCCAAACCCCACTATTAAATCAACCAAACCCCACTATTTTCATTTTCTTATACACTTTTAATCAACAAAATCCCTCTTTCTCTCTCTCTCTCTCTCTCATCAACCAAACCCCATTACCTTATATTTTTTTATTCACCTCTCTAAAAACTTGTGCTAAAGGCAAACAAGACTTTTATTTGGGGACGGAGGGAGTAAATTTTGTACAAAATTATCGGGCTATTATTTTGGCCCCATTAACCCTGTCCATTAAAGGCTGTGTACACTGTACAATATGACCCTTTTAAACTTGACTTTAACCCTATGCCCATTGAGTTACCATGTCTATTAACTAGGTCTAATCCTAATAGCAAAGAGGGATTGTTGAATGAAAATTTGACACAAGGTTCTTACCAGGGACATGAAAAGGAGATTCCATTCAAGCATTTCATCCTTCACATCCTTGGTCCTTGAGACTTGAGGTGTTATATACGAGTTTCTACATATATGTACTCTGTACTTTAAAGTAGGTGGATGACTGAATACATTCTGTTATCTCACAGGCACAGAAGGGTAAATAATATATTGATTAATCATACTGCAAGTGCAAGTATTCCTACTACACGGGGCACATTTACAGCTCACTGTTACCTGTCAATCATGGATGGCATTGAGCATATTGCAATGGTCAAGGTGTGCAATTTTAATTTATCATTGCTAGATATATTTTCTGCTGTAACCCTTATATTAATTACAACTAATAAAAGACTATGGTCAAAACAGGGTGCAATAGAAGATGGCCAAGATGTCCTTGTGAGGGTACATTCTGAATGTGTAACAGGGGACATATTTGGCTCAGCCAGATGCGACTGTGGGGATCAACTTGCACTTGCAATGCAGCTAATTGAGGAAGCTGGCAGAGGTGTATTGGTTTACAATCGTGGGCATGAAGGAAGGGGCATTGGTTTGGGAAACAAACTTCGTGCTTATACTTTTGCAGGACGCTGGACTGGACACTGTTGATGCTAATATAGAGCTTGGTTTACCTGTGGACTCACGCGAGTATCACATTAGTGCATAGGTATTACGAAGCTTATCATGGAATGGCCATTATAAATGAATATTCATATTCACACATTTTTCAGCACATTGCTCTTGCTCTCTCCCTGCTTCTCTACTTTACATGTAGACATCCCAAATATTGTGTGTCGAATTCTAAAACCAGATCAACATCAGGGTTAATGGTTAATTGTATTACTTGGTTTTGTTTGTTTTGAATTTAGTTAAAAGAAATTCAGGTAACCAATTCTACATGAAAAGTCAAAACTTATATAAGCTCACTTTCAGTTGAACTATTTACTTTGGTACGCTGATCATGCCTTGGTAAGCTTGCAGATACTGAGGCATCTTGGAGTTCGATCATTGAGGCTATTGACAAACAATCCTGTGAAATGTGTTGAGCTCCGTAACTATGGTCTTGCTGTTATTAAGAGAATACCAGTTGTCACTACTGTCACAAAGGAGAATGAGAGATATCTGGAAACAAAACGTGCTAAGATGAACCATGTGTTTGGCCTTGGATCTGATATATGTACGTGTAACATTATCAAATGGTAAGAAAATGTCATGATCACCTTCCACCCCTATCCCCCTTGCTTTCCTGATACTGTGGGGGCTTGTTTGGATGGAAAGTGATAATAATGGTTTTGTAAGTAATATTATTGAGTGTCATGGCCATATCAACGAAAATATGCCAATTTATCTGTCGCCGAACCATATACAACCTTGTCCTCTGAACAGCTTCAGCAATTGGAAAAAAGTTGACTTTTTGTGCCCAGGCACTTAGGCCAGTTGATGAGTTTTTCGCTCTTTGCCCTCTAAGAATATTCGTTTTTTTTTTCTTTTTTTTTTCCTCTATTGGATGTCCAGAATTGTGGATGTACTTTTGTGGTGGCAGTAGGATTCTCCGCATTCCATTTGGAAAAAGTATGTTTAAATTGACATTGTATATCCTAATTTCAGGTAGTTAGCTGCCTGCTGAGCACTGGAATGCACTGGCTACTTTTCATTATCAGTGATGAAGCGGCTTGTTTTCATGATAGTGGACCAGTATTATCAATTAAAGAAATCCAGGATTTTGTTTAATTTATGCAAGCTAAATTCTGCGCTCTGTACGTGCTTCATGCATATATTTACTCTTCTTTGGCTTCTGTAATTAGATATGGCAGATTGCGCAAATTCTGGTTTGGTTTCAGCTCGATTTCGGGTTTTGAGTATATGCTCAAATTTGGTTTTTGTAAAATTACAGTACAGTTTCTAATTATGATTGATGGATTAAATTGGGTTATTTGAGTTCAAGGTTCCGTCTAGAGATAGTTTGACTGTCAATGTGAGAACTGAAAAGAGTTATACACTTATACTTGCACATTGCTAGCTGATCCAGCACTACAAATTATCATTGTTAGCTTTACACATCTAGTTCTACTATGATCCCGATTTTTTTTTTTTATTTATTTTTATTTTTTATATATCTTTTTCATTCTTAAAAAAAGAGAGATTTCATGTATTAGAGTAGAAGATGAAACAAAAGCTCCAGCTCGAGCACCAACGAATCGAGCTTGAGAAGTGCTTACAATTCATGAGAGTCATAGATATAAACTGGTAACATTTGAATATCTGATAAATCCAAACCATTAGTCAATAACTTAATACTAAAACAGACATCGGGAATGACATGTGTCACATTTTGGCGCTGTTTTTACCCTCCAAAATCCCCCTTCCCTTTTAGCAAAAAATATTTTATTTTTGAAATATTTTTATAATAAAACTATAATAATATTATTCCAAACTTATATATTATCTCTATATAAAATGTATTCCTTTTTATTGTGTTCTAAAATTTTCCATTCACATTTACCTAAAATAGTTTTTCAACTCTTTTTTAATTATCTTTTAAACGAGTATTATTGAGTTTTACCGAAAAAGTAATAATAAAATTGATTCATATCTAAGTAATTGATATTAAAGAAATTACTTTAAAACATCACTTTAATTATATTTTTTTTTCAAATTCCTTTTTATTTTGTTTATTAGACTAATGGAGTATTAGATATGACCATAAAATAAATGTTGTGTTCGACAACTATATTATATGTCTAATTCGAAAATGTAAAATATCAATCAATTTTTTGTTATTACATTATTAAAAAAAGTTAATATCTTAGAAAATACAAAAAAGTTATTATCTTTTGCTCAAACACTTTATTGAGATAATAATTTTATCACATCCGACATTCATAAATAAGCTGCATTTTAAAAAGCACGTCGGACATAGTGACATTTTTATTTATTTATTTTTTTTGGATAAATACCTATCATCGACAAATAAAATTTTAAAGCAATAAACAAATAATGATAAAACTAGAATTATTGGATAGCTTTCAAACACATTTTTATATAATAACAAAGAGCGACGATATCATATAGAGCATCAATCCATAAATAGAAAATGTACTACTAATAATATAGGTTAGTGTTGCCTAATTATTGATTGTTGTTGCTTTTAATGCTCTAAGTAGTATTTATTTCCATTGAAATTATTTTATTGGATATAAAGATGATATATTATTTAATTTGTAATATATATATTTACATGTATGTTGTGCCAATAGTTTTATTGTCGATTTTAGTTTGTTGTTTGATTAATGTTTTGATGTTTATTTAAAGGCATTTATAAATAAGTCTTTAGTCATATAGTCACTAGATTGTATAGTTTCATTGAGAATAATATGCATTATTAATGTAATATAATGTATATTACTTTTAAATATTTTCAACTCAACTAATCAACAATAATTTTTTTTCTTTCTCAATTGTAGTTTTAATGAATTTTAATATAATATAAAAATAAGACAACTCATGTGAAATAAACAAATATAATGCATATAGGAAAATAAAATAATATATAGAAAAAGATTACTACCTGATGCACGGACACTAATATAGTTATATCTAAAAACTAAGCAGAAATGAGAAAAATAGTTTTAAGTATTTAACGCATGCAAAAACAAGAGGGCCTAAGTTCGGGATATTGAACCCGACGTGAATCGAACACGCAACCTTCTGATCTGGAGTCAGACGCGCTACCATTGCGCCACGGATCCTCTAATTTAATAATAATTTTCACTATGTATACAAATACGCATCTGTTACAAACTTACCAAAACCAACTAAATATTTTTTCTTTTTGAGGAAATGCAGCTAAAATATTTTATTAAGAAAAGAATCAGAAATTAGATTTCTACATTATTAATTCATGGGTAAGTCTTGAATGTGGCTAGCCACACAGTATGGTCACATTAGTTTATAAGAGCAATCTTCATTTATATGTATGAGTAACCTCATTTTTTCATAAGAGTAACCTCATATTGTCCATAAAAGTAACCCAAATTCATCATACAATTAAAGTCAAGTAATTTAGAAATAAGTAATCCCATTTGTTCATTCGAGTAACCCCTATTATTTTGTTTTGAAAAATAAAAGAATAATTCCACTTATTAAGAAAGTAGCAATTTTTTCTCATTTAAGTAACTCCATATACGTTAAGGTAACTTCATTTGCTCATCACCATGACCCCTATTACTTAATTAATTGCCTTATATGTGATTATGTGAAGTGGCCACACCATGTGGCTAGCCACATATAAGAATTTGTGTTAATTCATTATTCAAACAATCTAATTTTTTTATTCAACTTTTTTTTTTTTTTAATTTATTTCATATTAATTCTCATTTTTATGCAATACGGAGTATTATTTTGAAAATACCTTGTCATCAACCATAGGAACAAACTATGTATTCTTATGCCTTGATCTCTCAACTTTTTTGTTTGTATTTTTATAGTTTATTCTTTTTAACATAATCACAAGGCCCATTCCCTTCATTATCCTTGCAAACACTAAATTTGACTTTAAAAAAAGGATTTATATTAATATTTTTACTTTTTGAAACTTGACAATTAAATTACTATACTTGCTATTAGTATATAGAAGGATAATGGAGTATAATGCCTCATGTCTCCCCATACGGTACCGCAATAACACCTAGAATGGTGTACCATCCCCCTCCTAATATGCATTTTAAGTTTTTAACCACGCCCAATCCAATTCGAAACCTTCTCGAAAAATATTCGATTCAGATTTTGACTTGCGTGGATATAATAATTTAACATAACTCAACTTTAAAAATTGACCCAACCCGACCCGACCTCATCATACCTAATCCGAACATCCGATTGACACCTCTAATTTTAACTATCAATTTAGCCGGTTACAAACCACAATCTTGTCATTGACTCAAGGCCACCACAAGCGACAAATAGTTCCAAACAACCTTTTATTTGTATGATTTGGGGTGCATCTCTCATCATCGCTTTAGATTCAAACACTATGTCTCAAAATCTTCGTGTCATATAATCTTCAATCTTAGAATTTTTTTGACTTTTCAAGACCAAAGAAGAAAGAGGTCGAACTACTTTGCATGGACCCCACAAAGATCCTAGGAGGTCGGATCGTATAAGGTTCCTTTGTAGAAACTTAACTTCCACACCTGAAATCAGGTCTTCCTTTCTCCACAGAAAGAAATTCCTCCGATCTAGAGAATAACGGATCAATTGAGACTTGGATTTTCACGAGTTTTGACACTTGACAGAGGATTTTCAGTCCTTTATTCTCTAACACGTTGAGCTACCTGAACCAAATTTCTAAAGTTTGTTTTCTTCGTTGTGTGGTCAATAAGATTAGTGAATTAAGAGAAGGTACATAAAAAGAGGGATTCGAAAGCAAAGGGCATGTAGACATGCCCAGGGCGATGGGTGCATACTCTTACCACCACTTGCTTGATAATCCAAATAAAAACAATTTACTGCACATTTAATAATTGAGTTGCAAAACCAATTGACTAATTACGTGGATAGTTAGTGTTTGGGTCCAATTTAGTCCAATTGGGCCTAAGCACTAAATGATCCAATTAAAAGCCCAAGGTCAAGGTTCAACTCTCCAATTGTGCTAAAGTCAAAGGTCAGCCCACAAAGCAAGCCAATTGGGCTAAGGCCCAACCTCTCCATGTATGATGAGGTATAAAAGCCATCATATTGATACATTCAAGGGGGATTCATTCTGATTCATTGATAGATTCACATGTTCATTCATATATTCTGATATATTCCATAAAAGCCTCAAGCAACAAACTCTCTTGCATAGTGTCTTCTTCTTACACATTGTACTGACTTTAGCATCGGAGGGGCCTTCCTCGGCAACACCCCCGAGGCTAGTTTACGTGTGTTTACTGTGCAGGAAACCTTCGGCCCAACATAACTTGGACCGAATCCAGCCTTCTCCATTTCAGCGGACCTTCGGCAAGGTCCCATTGTTTTCACCCGAAACAATTAGTATTTTGTACTCGCAATTTCAACTCAAAGGTCACATACAAACTATGAGTTGTACATATACCTCATCAAAACAAGTCCGTTTTTACTTTCATGGCCTGGCCTAGGTGCAACTCCTGAACTTAAAAGGAGTGGCAACATGTTACATGCATGAGCATTAAGAGTAATGTAAATTAAAGTGCAAATTGAAGACTATGCATGCATGGTGATGCCATTAGGCCATGTAGGTGGCCTTTCCCTTAATTGATGCCTTGAATACAAACAACTAACGGTGTTCATTCAATTTGGTGGTAAGTGGACTAGTGGCTCATAAAAACGTGTGGACCCTACCTAATTTATACAAACTTCAAAAGATCCCGAAGACAACCCATGTTAGCTTCCATCATTACCGAAATAACTACACTGTAAAATTGGTTAATTATTTGCCATAATCTCGATTGGTAGTCTTAATTAACAACATAAATTAAAGTTGATTTTGTACATGCCATTGCTTACACTGCATGCAAAGCCTCTCGTAGTCCCACCTTACCAATTGTAGGCTTATCTATCTTTATTCTTTCTCTAGTAACTTCTTATTTTGTAGCCACTAATTGTGGAGAAATGACCCCTTTTTAGTATTCATTGATCTGCAAGCTGAAATCTACAACTTTTAAAGGCATCCTCTCATTATGGAGCTATTCTTAAAAGTCAAAAGTTTTTCGTTAGTTTCACCCAATGTAAATGAAGAGTTAATTCTTACTCTATCTTTCCGTCTTGATATGATGGTTATACGAATTAGTTAATAGGATCTTGCTACCGAACGTCTCCAGGACGTTAGATAAGCATTTAAAATATTTTTTAAAGTAGTATTTATTTGGAAATGCATGATTAAATCACGCATCGATTGATGTAATTAATATTTATTTTAATTTAAT